CTGGCACCCGCCGACCTAGCACCCGCCGACCTGGCACCCGCCGACCTGGCACCCGCCGACCTAGCACCCGCCGACCTGGCACCCGCCGACCTGGCACCCGCCGACCTAGCACCCGCCGACCTAGCGCCCGCCGACCTAGCGCCCGCCGACCTAGCGCCCGCCGACCTGGCACCCGCCGACCTAGCACCCGCCGACCTGGCACCCGCCGACCTAGCACCCGCCGACCTGGCACCCGCCGACCTGGCACCCGCCGACCTAGCACCCGCCGACCAGGCACCCGCCGACCTAGCGCCCGCCGACCTGGCACCCGCCGACCTGGCACCCGCCGACCTAGCACCCGCCGACCTGGCACCCGCCGACCTGGCACCCGCCGACCTGGCACCCGCCGACCTGGCACCCGCCGACCTAGCGCCCGCCGACCTGGCACCCGCCGACCTAGCGCCCGCCGACCTGGCACCCACCGACCTGGCACCCGCCGACCTAGATCTCTCGCCGACCTAGCACCCGCCGACCTGGCACCCACCGACCTAGCACCCGCCGACCTAGCACCCACCGACCTAGCACCCGCCGACCTAGATCTCTCGCCGACCTAGCACCCGCCGACCTGGCACCCGCCGACCTAGCACCCGCCGACCTGGCACCCGCCGACCTAGCGCCCGCCGACCTGGCACCCGCCGACCTGGCACCCGCCGACCTGGCACCCGCCGACCTAGCACCCGCCGACCTGGCACCCACCGACCTGGCACCCGCCGACCTGGCACCCGCCGACCTAGCACCCGCCGACCTGGCACCCACCGACCTAGCACCCGCCGACCTAGCACCCACCGACCTAGCGCCCGCCGACCTGGCACCCGCCGACCTAGCACCCGCCGACCTGGCACCCGCCGACCTAGCACCCGCCGACCTGGCACCCGCCGACCTAGCGCCCGCCGACCTGGCACCCGCCGACCTGGCACCCGCCGACCTGGCACCCGCCGACCTGGCACCCGCCGACCTGGCACCCGCCGACCTGGCACCCGCCGACCTAGCACCCGCCGACCTGGCACCCGCCGACCTAGCACCCGCCGACCTGGCACCCGCCGACCTAGCGCCCGCCGACCTGGCACCCGCCGACCTGGCACCCGCCGACCTGGCAGCCGCCGACCTGGCACTCGCCGACCTAGCAGCCGCCGACCTGGCACCCGCCGACCTGGCACCCGCCGACCTGGCACCCGCCGACCTAGCACCCGCCGACCTAGCACCCGCCGACCTGGCACCCACCGACCTAGCACCCGCCGACCTAGCACCCGCCGACCTAGCACCCGCCGACCTAGCACCCGCCGACCTGGCACCCGCCGACCTAGCACCCGCCGACCTGGCACCCGCCGACCTGGCACCCGCCGACCTGGCACCCGCCGACCTGGCACCCGCCGACCTGGCACCCGCCGACCTGGCACCCGCCGACCTGGCACCCGCCGACCTAGCACCCGCCGACCTGGCACCCGCCGGCCTGGCACCCGCCGACCTGGCACCCGCCGACCTAGCACCCGCCGACCTGGCACCCGCCGACCTGGCACCCGCCGACCTGGCACCCGCCGACCTAGCACCCGCCGACCTGGCACCCACCGACCTAGCACCCGCCGACCTAGCACCCACCGACCTAGCACCCGCCGACCTAGCACCCGCCGACCTGGCGCCCGCCGACCTAGCGCCCGCCGACCTGGCACCCGCCGACCTGGCACCCGCCGACCTGGCACCCGCCGACCTAGCGCCCGCCGACCTGGCGCCCGCCGACCTGGCACCCGCCGACCTAGCACCCGCCGACCTGGCACCCGCCGACCTGGCACCCGCCGACCTGGCACCCGCCGACCTGGCACCCGCCGACCTGGCACCCGCCGACCTGGCACCCGCCGACCTGGCACCCGCCGACCTGGCACCCGCCGACCTGGCACCCGCCGACCTGGCACCCGCCGACCTGGCACCCGCCGACCTGGCACCCGCCGACCTGGCACCCGCCGACCTAGCACCCGCCGACCTGGCACCCGCCGACCTGGCACCCGCCGACCTGGCACCCACCGACCTAGCACCCGCCGACCTAGCACCCACCGACCTAGCGCCCGCCGACCTGGCGCCCGCCGACCTGGCACCCGCCGACCTGGCACCCGCCGACCTAGCACCCGCCGACCTGGCGCCCGCCGACCTGGCACCCGCCGACCTAGCACCCGCCGACCTGGCACCCGCCGACCTAGCGCCCGCCGACCTAGCACCCGCCGACCTAGCGCCCGCCGACCTAGCACCCGCCGACCTGGCACCCGCCGACCTGGCACCCGCCGACCTGGCACCCGCCGACCTGGCACCCGCCGACCTAGCACCCGCCGACCTGGCACCCGCCGACCTGGCACCCGCCGACCTGGCACCCGCCGACCTAGCACCCGCCGACCTGGCACCCGCCGACCTGGCACCCGCCGACCTAGCACCCGCCGACCTGGCACCCGCCGACCTGGCACCCGCCGACCTAGCACCCGCCGACCTAGCGCCCGCCGACCTAGCGCCCGCCGACCTAGCGCCCGCCGACCTGGCACCCGCCGACCTAGCACCCGCCGACCTGGCACCCGCCGACCTAGCACCCGCCGACCTGGCACCCGCCGACCTGGCACCCGCCGACCTAGCACCCGCCGACCTGGCACCCGCCGACCTAGCGCCCGCCGACCTGGCACCCGCCGACCTGGCACCCGCCGACCTAGCACCCGCCGACCTGGCACCCGCCGACCTGGCACCCGCCGACCTGGCACCCGCCGACCTGGCACCCGCCGACCTAGCGCCCGCCGACCTGGCACCCGCCGACCTAGCGCCCGCCGACCTGGCACCCACCGACCTGGCACCCGCCGACCTAGATCTCTCGCCGACCTAGCACCCGCCGACCTGGCACCCACCGACCTAGCACCCGCCGACCTAGCACCCACCGACCTAGCACCCGCCGACCTAGCACCCGCCGACCTGGCACCCGCCGACCTAGCGCCCGCCGACCTGGCACCCGCCGACCTAGCGCCCGCCGACCTGGCACCCACCGACCTGGCACCCGCCGACCTAGATCTCTCGCCGACCTGGCACCCGCCGACCTGGCACCCGCCGACCTGGCACCCGCCGACCTGGCACCCGCCGACCTGGCACCCGCCGACCTAGCACCCGCCGACCTGGCACCCGCCGACCTAGCACCCGCCGACCTGGCACCCGCCGACCTAGCGCCCGCCGACCTGGCACCCGCCGACCTGGCACCCGCCGACCTAGCACCCGCCGACCTGGCACTCGCCGACCTAGCAGCCGCCGACCTGGCACCCGCCGACCTGGCACCCGCCGACCTGGCACCCGCCGACCTAGCACCCGCCGACCTAGCACCCGCCGACCTGGCACCCACCGACCTAGCACCCGCCGACCTAGCACCCGCCGACCTAGCACCCGCCGACCTAGCACCCGCCGACCTAGCGCCCGCCGACCTAGCACCCGCCGACCTGGCACCCGCCGACCTGGCACCCGCCGACCTAGCACCCGCCGACCTAGCGCCCGCCGACCTAGCGCCCGCCGACCTAGCGCCCGCCGACCTGGCACCCGCCGACCTAGCACCCGCCGACCTGGCACCCGCCGACCTGGCACCCGCCGACCTGGCACCCGCCGACCTGGCACCCGCCGACCTGGCACCCGCCGACCTGGCACCCGCCGACCTGGCACCCGCCGACCTGGCACCCGCCGACCTGGCACCCGCCGACCTGGCACCCGCCGACCTGGCACCCGCCGACCTGGCACCCGCCGACCTGGCACCCGCCGACCTAGCACCCGCCGACCTGGCACCCGCCGACCTGGCACCCGCCGACCTGGCACCCGCCGACCTGGCACCCGCCGACCTGGCACCCGCCGACCTGGCACCCGCCGACCTGGCACCCGCCGGCCTGGCACCCGCCGACCTGGCACCCGCCGACCTAGCACCCGCCGACCTGGCACCCGCCGACCTGGCACCCGCCGACCTGGCACCCGCCGACCTAGCACCCGCCGACCTGGCACCCACCGACCTAGCACCCGCCGACCTAGCACCCACCGACCTAGCACCCGCCGACCTAGCACCCGCCGACCTAGCGCCCGCCGACCTAGCGCCCGCCGACCTGGCACCCGCCGACCTGGCACCCGCCGACCTGGCACCCGCCGACCTAGCGCCCGCCGACCTAGCGCCCGCCGACCTAGCGCCCGCCGACCTGGCACCCGCCGACCTAGCACCCGCCGACCTGGCACCCGCCGACCTGGCACCCGCCGACCTGGCACCCGCCGACCTGGCACCCGCCGACCTGGCACCCGCTGGGTGCTAGGTCGGCCGGGGCTAGGTCGGCGGGGGCTAGGTCAGCGGGGGCTAGGTGTTTTTGTGAGCAGCCCGCGAATAGCTCTTACCCGGCAGGTGGTCAGCAGATCCTGTGGCGCGGATACAGGGTATCATACACTGGATAGGGCCGTGCATGCTTGCAGGCAGGCCGCATCGTACAACTGGGCGCGACCAACATGTATGCTGCACATATGCATGTGTAGATTGCAATCCGCGACTGTATGTTTAATCAGTAATGGCAGGAATGGCAGAAATGCTTGAGGCAGAGGGCTGCGGGGCTCATTCAGGAGTGGCCCCTATAAAAAGAAAGCATACAGGGACAGCAGTGCACGCTGGTTGTACTGCTCGAAGTTTACAAACAACCCTGAATAACTGCCAAGTCATACGCGCGAGTGTTTTAATCGCCCGGCAAACACCACATCCTTGACGCCCTGGCGTTCAAGATAACAACGTGCTATATGTATGAACAGTGTAGCTGTGGCCGAACGCAATGCATTCCGGTCCGGCAAGTGCGAAGTGGCAATGAAGAACCTAACGGTATGTCGCTGCACGGCCGGTACCCATCCGCGGCCGTTGGGACCACGTGACCCCTTGGCCTTTCTCTGGAGTCACCGTAGGACCGCACACTGTACCAGCGTATTATTCATAGCATTATAAGCTGTCCAATTACTGCTTGAATTTGAGTCTTGGTTGTTGTAAGCCGCGTCCACAACTGAGCGCTTGTTGGTAAGGGACCACGGAAGGAATCGCTCATCATCACAGGCAAAGACTATCTTAACAAATGGCTACCTGCCCTTTTATTAGCCCCTTGGGATGTGATCAAGACTGCTCGCCGACTGCAACATCGTCGTCGGCATCGGAGCATGCGAAGCATGTGGGGGATCAACCTGCCCAAATCGCTTCAGGAGATCTAGAGGAAAATGCAACCACGAACATTTCTGGCCTCAGAGTAAAAAGTTCCCAGTTTAGCGACACTCCGTCAAGCTCGTCTTCAACTTCATCAGCAGGCTTTTCGCATACAAAGCAGACAACCGCTGCTGCAAAACAAGCCGACAACACACGCGTACGGCTAACGCGCCGTCAGCTTCGCCAAATGTGCAAGCGCTGGAGTTTGGCGGAGGTCAGTGAGCATGCGCGCAAGGATGATGCTTGGGTCGCAGTGGACGGCAAGGTGTACGACATTTCAGAACACCTGGACAACCATCCGGGCTGGAGCGCTACGGCGGACATCAGTACGGCACTTTCCATCCTCGCGCATGCCGGCACAGACTGCAGCCAGGTGCGTGTGATGTGTACGTAGCGCTATTAGCCTGAGCTGGCTGGTTCATTAGCTTCCCAGCTCACCGGGGTTACGGGTTAGGACCTTCCACTGGCTGGGCCCTATCAACTGAAGATGAGGGGCTGTTCCATCGACACTGCCCTGTTTTATCCGGTATCAACACAAGCACTTCATAGCAGAATTATTTCATTTCTCCGTGTATGCCATTCATCGTATGCTCGGCAGGAGTTTCGAGAGATTCACCGGCCGTACCCCATAGCCTGGCGGCAGCTACGGACGTACTACATTGGCGATCTGGATCCCAGTTCTTGAGCTCTTGAGCCCAGACGGCGGACAGCATGGAGCGCAGCGACCAGCAAGAAGTACGGCGACGGCTGACGTGGGGAACGGAGTTGATGTGGCATGTCGCTGCTTCAAGAATGAACTTGCTTGCCAGGGACGCTGGTACGCTGGACACTACCAAACTGGGGTTTCCTATTGACCCACGGGTCTATGCCTGTGGTTGTGATGAGTGGAAATCCCTTGCAAAGCTGTTAGGCCAGAGCTGGCTGAAGTGTGTTTTAGGCGTGAACGATGTGAGGTCACAGGGCACAGTCGTAGGATTGCGTGACCGGCCCGTTGCCCCGATTATGGTCCCTGCACGGCACTTCCGAGTGTGTTGGGGTTGGGGTGTGCGTTATTAAGAGATTGGGACTGTGCGAATTGGACACATGTCGGTGCTAAGAGAACTGGACACGAGGCGGTGGGTAGTGCGGTGTGTGAACTCTTGTTACGATGCAGCAGCTGCGGTTGCCTGGCTGTGTGCTTCCGTTGGTGGCAAGAAGCAAGGTACAGAACCCATGTACCGCACCAGGCATGGCGTTAATCACGGGTGAAGCTGGCTGAAGGAATGGTTATTCCCTGGAGATTCCCTTTCCTGATGTAGCATGCAACTGCATGTGCATGCGACCTGCTATACGGTACGCATACATGATGATGCATGACCAAGGCGCAAAACAACGGGACGAAACAGTGTGGTGTAATATGGTACGCAGCATGGTATGGGATGCATGGATTGATTCTTCGTGCAAACAATGCGGATGGCTAGGAGCTACTAGATGTTGGGGACTAAGGCGCGGAGAACTTGTTGCATTCTTGCATTCCTGAGCAGCTACATGCATGCATCAATGGCGTGCATTGCGCAATGTAGATATGCATCAGACGTTGGGTTGAGCAGCTGAGCATTCTTAATACTTTTGGTAAACTGCTACCGGTATCTTCAGGGACCGTATGTGTGTGCGACGGCCACTGCTGCATGATTGTAATTAAGCTCTCATGCCCTACCTGATGAACCTAAGACGTGTAACCCCCTACAAGCATCACCATCGCGCTCCCTCAGCACCGTCATTCGACAACCCGGCAAGAGCCCATACCGGCATACGCGCATGTCTCATTACCCCTACTCATCACCCCAATAGTGATGACGTACGGTATGTCATATCGTGTGATGCTCTACATGCCCCCATCATGCACCACACAGCTCATCCTGCACGAATACATACCTGAACCCACCACCCACCCATCGGACCTCATCTCACTCAGGCCTCACTTCCATCCATCCTAATTCCTAAACATTCGACCCTCACCTCAACTGCATGCCATCCCACCCCTGTGCATGCAACCCTACCCCTGGTTCCTTCGGTAGTTCGCACCGCACCCCAGTATGTCGAGCATGCCCATCCCCCCCGATCCACGGGAGCCCGCAGCACCCCCCGCCGCTGCCCCTCCCGCACCACCACCACCTCCTCCTCCCCGCCCACCCAGCAGCCCCATCGTCGCCGGCGCGCCGCCCAGCGCCACCTTGATCTGCCAGCTGAGCTCCCGCACCTGCTGCTGAGCCTCCGAAAGCTGCGTCGCATGGGGGAGCAGGGAGGCACCGTGAGGACATACGGAATGACTATTGAGGAGCAACAGCAACAGCAGCAGCAGCAGACCAGGACATTCAACGGCCCCAGTCCCAACCGCAGAGCGCATTCCACGTCCTACCTCACCGCATCCCCCCTTCCCAACCGCACCCACACCCGCACCCCACCTGCTCCTTCAGCGCCGCCACCTCCGCCTCCGCTGACGTCGCCCGCCTCGTCTGCACCGCCGCCGCCAGCTCCGCCTCCTCCAGCCGCCCCTGCACCTCCTCCAACAGCTCCGCCTGACGAGCCAACCGCCGGTCCGCCGCTGTCGCTGCCGCCGCTGAGGACACCCCAGCGTGCTCGCCTTCGCCTCCGCCGCTGCTTGCATGGCGCACCGACAGCGATGACGCCGACGGCAGCAACCCGCCGCCGCCGCCGCCGCCAGCTCGGCCCTCGTCGTCCACACGTGCTAGAGCTAGGGTGAGCTCAATCTTGGCGAGTTCCGCCGCCTCCGCGCGCGCCTCAGCCGCGCGAGCAGCTTCCTGCGCGGTGTGCTCGGCCTCCAGGGCGGCAGCCACCCGCCGGGCTGCCTCCTCCTCGCGCGCGGCCACCGCTGGAAGGCGAGGATACCGGTAAGCGGAGGGACGGATGAGGAGAAGGAGAGGGGCGAGGGGAAAATGAGGGTTCATATTAGCATGTTCATGGTGATGGTAGGAGCAGAGTGGGAGCAAAGGGATGCTTCCCAACACACACGCAACGCACCATGCAGTGCATGCAACGCACCCCACATACCACACTATCGCAAAACCCACCTGCAGCCACTCGTCGCTCAAAGTCACGTCGCAGCGCCTCGCTATCGCTCTGCGCCGCCGCCTGTCCCGCCCGCTCCTCCGCAAGCGCCGCCTCCGCCGCCGCCAGGCGCCCCGAGGCCGCCGCCGCCGCCGCCTCCTGCGCCGCCAGGGCTGCCTCTAGCCGTGCCGCGGCGGACTGCGCCGCCGCCAGCTGCTGCTGCAGGACCTCCCGCTCCGCCTCGGCTGCCTGCTTGGTACGACAGGAAGTGTGAAAACACAAGCACGGGTTAGGTCGTACCGGGTGCATGCGCCGCCGTGGAGTTCGTCCAACGCTTTAGTCCCAACGTCACCGTAGTAGCCAACGCATGGAGACAAGGCGTGCCTCATGAGGAGTGACGACGTAGGGAAAGGTATGCAAGAAGGACTCCCTACCAAGCCGCAGGACGAACGGGTACGGCGGTACGGTAGGAGTAAAGAGACGTTAAGAGACACGTTTGACTTGAAGTACATCATACCCAACAGCAGCAGCAGTGCTGCTGCCGAGCAGTACGGCAGCAGCGCCAGGTCGATGCTCAGGTCCCCAACAACCCCCACCTGCAGCCGCACCGCCGCCTCCTCCGCCCGCGCCTCCGCCGCTGCCGCCGCCGCCACATGCGACCCCGCCGCCTGCCGCTCCGCCTCCGCCGCCTGCCGCGCCGCCTCCAGCTCCCCCCGGAATGAGCGCTGCAGCAGCTGGAACTTGCGGGTGCGCTCGGCGGTCTCCGCCTCCATCGCCCTGCAGGGGGGGCAGGGGAGGGGGCAGGGAAGGGGGCAGGGAAGGGGGCAGGGGAAGACGCATGGGCAAGGCGTAGGTGACCTTTGAGGGAAATTGCTAAAGGGTGCGATGGGGAGGGAGGGCACGGGGGCAGCAGCAGCAGCAGCAGCTGGGGCTTGCGGGTGAAACCCGAGGCCTCTATCGCCTCCATCGCCCTGAGCGCGCGCACAGCCGCAGGAAAACCGAAATGCAAAGGCAGCAGAGGCAAGGCGGATGTCCCAAAGAGCCCCTCCCCGCGCCTAGCGCCCGATGCCTGTTAGCTTGCCTTCTCTACAGCCCCTACCTGGTCTCTAGGCCTGCACCGTTCCTGCTCGCTCTCTAGCCCCCGCCCCCCACCGCACTCATTCCATTTCTCTTTACTTTCTTCCCACCTGACTCTCAGGGTTTCCGCGGCTCAGTTTATCTAATCCCACCTGACTCGCTCCTCCAGCTCCTGTCGTGCCGCCTGCGCCTCCACCACCGCCTGCCGCGCCGCCGCCTTGTCCGCCTCCAGCCGGGCCACCAGCGGGCCAAAGTCAGCCACCTGCGTAGTAAGGGGGAGCGGGAGAAAATTGGGGGGGGGTCAAAGACCGCACCAAAGGGAAGCACATGTCGAGTGATGGGGGACAGGGGGAAGCATGGCGGACTCGCGAGGGCTGGCACGGGGGGACAGCAGCCTGGAGGGAAGCCCTAGAGAAGAACCCTCCTCTCCTCCGCTTCCCCTCCCTTTTTCCTCCCTTTCTCCTCCTCTAATATGCCGTACCGGTATCCTCCCCACCCGTACCTTTTGCCTCAGCCGCTCCAGGTCCCCGCTGCCCGCCCTCAGGCCCGCCAGCTCCCCCTCCGCCGCCTCGCACCGCTGCCGTACGGCATCCAACTCCGCCTGCGTCTCCTGCGGAAAGGCGCGCAGCAGCAGGTGGGAAGAAGACGGGAAGAGCGGCAGAGGTGAGAGGCCTGGCGGCGACGGGATAAAAACACACACGTAGCGGTATACGGTATACCAGACGTCCACTGATAAATAAAGTACTTCATACATGGAGCGCCGTGGCATGTCGAGCGGCCGCCTCCTCCATTCGCCCCTGCCATTGCTTGGCGGCGGCCGCAGTCGCCTCCGCCAGCTGCGCGGCGGCGGCGGCCTCACACTCAGATCGCACCAGCGCCGCATTGGCGGCAGCGGCGTCGCGCTCCGCCGTCAGACTGTCGCGCAGTACAGCAACCTGTACGGCATCCGGAGGGGGGGTGTAAGGAGGCGGCAGGGAGCTGTGCGTCCAGGATTCCCTGTTACTGTACTACCATTCAAGGAGGACACCAGCTTTCGGTAATCACAGTACTTTTCCAACTCAGCTTTCTTAACACACACAAGCACACCTGCTGCTCCAGCTGTCGTACGGCGGACTTGGCCGCCGCTGCCTCCTTCTCCGCCGCCGTCAGCCTGGCATGCAGCTCCGCCGCCGCCGCCTCATGCGCCGCCGCCGCCGCTGCCGTCGCCGCCTCCAGCTCCGAAACCCGACTGGCGGCTGCGTTGAGTCGCTGCGCCGCCACCGCCACCTCCGCCTGGGCTCCGTCGCGTACGGCATCCAGTGCCGCTGATTTGTCGTACAGCTGAGGCGGAAGTACGGCCGTTCGTGTTTATTAGTTGCATGTCGCAGGTGTGTGAAGAAATGAACAAAAACATGCCGGTATAACCCAGGAACAGTACATGTACGGCCCTGTCTACCTGGTACCCGGCACCGTAACCACGCTTGGGACATACGTCCCCTCATCCAGCGTCACCCGACGGCATACCCGTTACCCCCAACTTTTGAACGCCCGCGATCTAGACAACCAACATACACTCCAGCCTGGATACCTTTACCCCCTCACCTCCTGCGTTGACTATGCAACAACCCATGGTGCAGCCTACACGTCACATGGCTGGCTTTTCCTCCCTGGTCCACCCCGGTTTATCCCCTCACCTCGCCTGACCACACGGTCAGTGAGTTGTTTCCTTGTTACTCTCACCTCCTGGGTCAGCCGCTCCACTCGGCTCCTCGCCTCCGCCAGCTGGCTGCCCGCCGCCGCCAGCTCCTCCCGCACCGCCAGGAGCTCCGACTGCGCCTCAGCCAGGGCCAGCTCCGAAACCTGCAGCGCCTGGGACCTGCGAGAGTGCAGGAGGAGGGCGCGGGCGGTTTCGGAGCTGGTTTGTACCGCGTGGTATGGACGCTTTCCTTCCAACGGACGCGTTGGCTGCCGCATGGAATCGGCCCGGGACGCGCGGCTACCGACAACCTACAAACCGCAGTGGTGGATAGCCACCGTCCACACCTGACACCACTACACCCGTTGCGCAAAGCAACCCCTTGCCCCTTCTGCCCCAACGCCGCTCCCAACGCCGTTCCACGTCCTAACCACCCCCAGCCTCTGCCATCCGGTAACCGGCTTGGAAGCCCCACGAGCCCTACCCAAGCCCCAGCCAAGACACCCAGGCTAGCCAATTCACCCACTTGCTGCTAAGCTGCAGCTCCAGCTCCGTTGCACGTGCCTCCAGCTCCGCCGCTTTGCCCTGCACGGCGGCCAGCGCCGTCGCCGCAGTCCGTGAGGCCGACCCGCCCTCATCCAGCTGCTGCCTCAGCTCCGAAAGCTGCACCGTCAGCTCCTTCACTCGACCCTCCTGGGTCTCAGCCGAGGCCTGCAGCTCCCGCCGCGCCTCCTCCAGCGCCTCCGCTCGCTCCTGCGCCTCTCGTAGCGCAACCGACCCACGGGTCACCTCACCCTCCAGCCGCGACGTTTGCACTTCTAGCTCCAAGCAACGGCCTTCGGCCTTCTCCAACGCAGCGCCCTTGAGCTCCACCTCACCCCGTAATCCCTGGACCTCTGCTTCCGCCGCCTCAACGCGCGCCCGGAGGTCTGACGTCTCCGCTGCCGTCGCCGCCGCCGCCGTGGCGGACGCCGTACGAGCCGCCGCCTCCACCTCCGTCAGCTGCGACTCAAGCTCCCGTACCCGCTGCCCTGCCGCCGTCAGCTCAGCCTGCAGCCGCCGGCGCTGCTCCTCAGCCTCAGCGCCGCATGCGTCCCGGGCCTCCCGAGCCTCCCGAAGCTGCCCCTGCAGCCGCTGCATGCGCTCCTCAAGGGAGGCGCGCTCCTGCTCGGCCTGCTGCGCGCGCTGACGGGTGTCGTACAACTCACCATCGCGCACCGCCAACTGCTTTCGGAGCTGCACCGCCGCCTCTGCGCCGTGTCGGAGCTGCGCTAGCTCGCTGCGAAGGCGTGAAAGCTCCTGCTCCACATCCGTCGGTGCTGCCGCGGTGATGGTTACTGCGGCGGTTGCAGCCGCCGCCGCCGGCGAACCAGCGCCGGTGCTGCGACGGTTCGACTTCTTCTTATCAGATGCAGCAGGAGGAGAAGTGCGTTCCGGAGTACCGATAGTCGCTACTGCCTGCCCAGACATGGCCTTTGCCAGCTGTTCCGTCATCTCATCCAATGCCTTGCCGTACAATGCGTACGGCGCCATGGAGGATTCGTACAGCGCCGTAGCCGCGTCCAGCTGCCCAGCGCACACTGCCAGCTGCTGCGCTAGCGCGGCGCTAGCGGCGGCCGTTCTCTTCTGCTCGTCCAACTGCCGCCGTAACTCCTCCAACGAATCCGTCAACTGCTCCACCTCACGTCGGTGTCGTACACCCTCACTCGACATGCGCTGCTTCAAGCTCTCTACCTCCGTCGCCGCCTCCGTCGCTCGCCCCTCCGCCGCCGCCAGCGTCGCCGCTGCCTCCGCCGCCCGCCCACGCTCCCGCTCCAGTACGGCATCGAGCTCCGAAACCAGGTTCCGCTGACGATTCAGCTCCCCATGCAGCTCCGCCACCTCTGCCGTCAGCGCGGCTGCCTGCTGCCTGGCTGCTGAGAGCTGCGAGGTCAACTCCTGGGCCTGTGTGCTGGCTTGTTCTGCCTGGTGTCGCTGTTGTTGCTGCAGCTGCTGAAGCTCAGAAGCTAGGCGGGAGGATTCCCCCGTCGCCGCATGGGCCCTGGCCTCGGCCTGCAGGGGGTACAGGGAGGTCAGGGACAGCAGGTGTCACCCACAGCTACCTTAGTGCTTCCTTAACACACAATGTAAGTGAAACACCTTCGATTGTTATAAGCACGAAGGGGAAAACACAGAGGGGAAAACGGCCAGAGGGGAAAACACAGGGGAACACATAGCACATAGCACGTAGGGGAAAACTGCCGGCAGGATTGTAATGTACGTACAAGCCATGTGCCAACAGCCCAGCCCAGCGCCTCCACGGATAAAAGGGATAACCCACCTCTGCCAGCTCAGATAGAGCCGTGTCCAGCTCCCGCCGAAGTTGGGCAGCAACAGCGGCTGCAGCGGCCGCTGCCTCGCTTCCTTTGGCATCCACCTCTGCCACTGCCATTGCAGCAGCTGCCGTCGCCTCCGCTGCCCCCTGCCGCTCCTGCTGCTGCTGCGCCTGCCCCGCCTCCAGATCCGCAATCCTCTCATCCCGCTGCTGCAGCACCCGCCGTAACTCCTCCACCTGCTCCCGCAGCCCTTCCAACAGCAGCCCCTCGCTTCCCGGCTTCTCCCTTTCCCCATCCCCTTCCCCACCACCACCCTCCCGCTGCTGCTGCTGCTGCAGCTCCTCCAGCCGCGCCTGCAGCTGCTGCCGCTGCGCCTCCACCGCCTCATGCTGCCGGGCCAGCTCCGCATGGCTCGCCTCCAGCTCCGTGAGATGCTGCTTTGTTGCCATGAGCAGCTGGTACTGCCGCCGCCCCTTGGCCTCCATGGCCCTGGTCTGGGCCTGGCTGGACTCCAGCGCCTCCTGAGGGTGCGGCGAGGGCGGGGCGGCATGGAGCGGGGCAGCATGCAGTGAGGTGGCATGTGGTGGTGGTGGTTGTGGGGAGCTTAGGGCTGCGGGGGCAGCGGAGCTGGAGACCCAACGGCGCCGTTTATGCTTGGTTAGTGAGTATAGCGTAGCTGCGTTAAGCCCCACACGCGTGTGAAAACCAACCTGGACAAACGCAAATGCCCGCGCCTGCTACGGTGACACACACACAGACGGTGACAGCGCCGCTGTGACAGCGCTTCTAACTGCAAACGTACCTTTAACTTCTGCACCTCCTCACTGTCTGCAGCAACCGCGCCAGCAGCAGCGGCTGTGGCAGCGGCGGCAGCGGCAGCGCTGCGCCTGGCCTCCTCCGCCTTCTCCGCCAGCCTCTCCACCTGCCGCTGTGCCTCCCCCAGTCGCTGCTCAGCTGCGGTGCGCGCCGCTCGCTCTCGGCCGAGCTCATCCTTCGCCTCGTCTAGCTCACCCAGCGCTTCGGTGGCGGTCTGCCGGGAGGGAAACGGAGAGGTACGGTTAGAAGTTGATAGTGAAGGAAGCACTGGAATCCCAATCCCAGGGGAGGGAGAGAGGGAGGAAGGAGCATGTGGCAGGCGCGTGCGTTTCGGAGGAGGTGAGCATGGAGGGACATGCCATGCATGTCCGCGGGTAATGGGAGGTAGGGACGACACAACTGTTTTGGAAGCGTAGTTGGCTGCAGGCAGAAATGTAGTCCTCACGCCAAAGCCAACGCAGCAGTCGTTTGGCTTACCTCCTCAAGCGCCTGCAGCCTGCGCTGTAGGCTCGCGTTTTCGTCGCGAAGAGCTCCCAAGAGGGCTGCATCCTGTGGGGCCGAGGGGCCAGTTAAGGACTTCTCTAACTTCCATTCCAGCGCCAGCGGTCCCCATGCCGTGTACCCCAATTGCAGGAGACGCGTCCGGAGCATGTCTATGGGACATGGACTCACCTGGCCGTTACCAGGGGCCTTCGGAGGTTCATCCGACCGTGTATTGACCTCCGCAGGCTGCGATATGGAAAAGAGGGCAATGCGTCCTTTAGCAGCTGAGGCAGGTACCACGCTGCAACAGCTTCCCTTACCGGCTTACTCCCTTGGCCGGGCTCAATAACAAGAACACTGCTCGCGAGTTTATCAAGCTGCCCTGTGAGCTGCTGCTTTGCGGAACTCTTCAAGGGAAAAAAGAAAACATGCTGTAAGATAGACGAACATAAGCCGAGATCTCTATTGGTGGCGAATCCTAAGCATAAAGGCCATATACATGAGCCATATGTTTGTCCACGGGTGTAGAACAAAACGCACCAGGGTAGCGTTCAGCCCAGCATCCTTGATGACAGAACCAGCCTGCTCTGACACGAGTTTTGTAAGGTTGTTAAGCTGTCCCCACATTCTTAACCCTTAAAACTTGATCAACGCCCAATACGCCCTATAACGCTGGGTCCTATCCTGGCATGGCCGCGATAAATGTCTATTTGACATTAAGTTATGGCTTACCATGTAGCTCAGAACGCAAAAATCAATGGCGTGTGTGGGTACCAACGTTCGTTCATACGGGAACGTCCTGCTGTACGAACTTCAGTCATGGGCAAGGGTCGTCACCACCACCACCTCCTGGGTTCCATCAAGTCGTAGGAGCGCGATGTAAGCCCCGTAATCGCAACCTTCTTTTGGGTAATCGCTCTTGACTCAGGGAACCCATGAACAACGTATTATAGCGTGGCAATCCATGTATGTAGGCATCCGTGCCGTCGACTCCGTGCCTTGTTGCGAAGATATGTGCGTCCATGCGATGAAATCCTCATTTTGGGGGACCTCAATGCGCGAGTAGCCAGCTTGAGTGATATACCAGATCTCCAGGCTGATGCTGAACTGGAGGCGGCGGCAGGTGTGTCGATCGGAGGTAATGGGCTCATTCAAGGCATGCCGAGCAGGCGCAGTAAGGACCCATCCAGCAACCCATTTGGGCAAGGTTTGGTCGAGCTGTGCCGCGAAACTGAACTGATTATCATGAATGGTCGTGTGCCCGGTGACATGGAGGGTGAGTTCACGTTCTACCACGCCCACGGCCTTGCCTGCAGTATGATTGATCTTTTTGTCTGCACGCCTGCTTTGTTCTCGCGGGCGTCGCATTTGCAAGTGCTTGGCATCCCCATTGCTATAGAGGGGCCTAAAGTGGGATCGAGGCTCAGCGATCACTGCCCGGTGTCACTCACTCTGGACGTTGGATTAGGAGGAACGCGAAGGGGTGGCAACACGGGTTCCTCTCGCCTGGGGAAACGTGAGTGGGAGCGGTACACGCGCCTATTTGAGGTAGAAGATGCTGCTGTCGTACAGAAGATTGACGAGGCTGTTAGCCAACTGGGCCATGGTCTTAACAGTACGGAGGTTGTTACAGTGATCTGTCGGGCTCTTAAGAAGGCTATTGACGCCACGTTTCGTCTTGAGAGGGGGCAAGGGTCCATTCCTAGTGCAGGCAGGACGGACAAGGATGCGCCTTGGTGGACACATGAGTGTGCGGAAGCCCGTGAGGCCATGTTTGCTCAAAAGGCGCTCATGCGTGCTAACGGTCTGCTGGGGGATCAGGATGCCAGAGCTGAGTTCAGTCGGTTGCGCACGAAGTATCAACGTCTACGCAGGGAGGCTAACGACAAGTTCCGGGTCATGCATTTTGAAGGAGTTATCGAAGAATGTCGGGGGGATCCACGGGCGCTGTGGGGTCGGCTGAATGGCAGATTTAGTCAGGGGTGCCCTATCACGGATGTCAACAGTTGGGGAGCCTACTTTAATGCGCTGTTTAATGGGGAAGTCAATGCGTTTAACGAAGTTTCCGCGGACACCATCCTTAGTACCATCAACGGTGTGCCACATGGGAGGGGAAGAGGATGGGTAAGGGCGACAGGCGATCGGGTAGCACGAGTCACCGCTGCTGCTGCGCTCAATGTTCCGTTCACCTTGGCGGAAGTCATTGCTGCGCTGAAGTCTTTGCGTAATAACAAGTCTGGGGGTTTGGACAGAGTACCGGCTGAATGTTTCAAGTGTGCGACGAGAGAGGTTGAGGGTAGAAGGATGTTTGTTTTAGCCCCTTACCTGCTCAAGCTACTAGAGCATATCCGCAGCACGGGGGATTATCCTGTGCAGTTTGAGGTCTCTGCGCTCACGCCCATCCACAAAAAAGGCGATGTGATGGAGAAGGGTAACTATAGGGGTTTAGCAGTGGGTGGTGTTTTGTCTAAGCTTTATGCGTTTTTGTTGGAGCACAGGCTGTCTCGTTGGGGCGAGCTGGTGGGAGCTAGGTCGCCGTATCAGGGAGGTTTCCGACGCAAGCGGGGTACCTGCCACAACCTGTTTTTGTTGCGACATCTGACGGACAAACATAAGGGGGGGCGAGATGCAGTTGACCCCCTGTTCGTTTGTCAGATTGACTTTGAGAAAGCGTTTGACAAGGTGCCACGTGATCTCTTGTGGTTAAGGTTGGAGGAACGGGGTGTGCATGGCGCTATGCTGGAGGCTCTCAAGACTTGTTACAACAAGGTCATGATGCGTGTCAGGGTAGACGGAGTGACGGGGGATCCTTTTGAATCTTCGCAGGGAGTCAAGCAAGGATGCCCTCTCAGCCCTACGCTTTACGGGATTTTTGGCGAGGGGTTTGCTGACTATGTTGACGCTAAGGATAAGTGGCTCCCTGATGCTATGCGCGCTAAGCAGCAGACTCCCCATGCGGATGGCCGGCGTATCCCGTTGGAACTGTATGCCGACGACCTCAGCCTTTTCGCTACGACGCACAGACGGCTGATTGTGTTGCTTGCTGATTTGAGAGAGTGGTGTGAGGCCTTTGGGATGCGGGTGAATGTTCGTAAATGTGAATTGATGGTTTTCCACCCTCGTGCCAATATCCGCGAGGCTTTTGCTGCCCTTTGCCCCGTGGTGTGGACTTCTATTGAGGGAAATGCGCGAGTACCTATGGTTATTCCTTGGGTACAACGAGCCCGTTACCTTGGTTTGCACTTTGGTCCTGGCACACCGTTTGTTTCCTGCACAGAGGAACTGTTGACCTCTGGCCGACGTGCTATGTTTTCTCTTCAGCGTAAATTAAAACGCCTAGGTCTTTTGGTCCCTGCTGTTGCAGTTAAGTGCTTCGACGTGCAAGTCCGCTCCATCTTGTCGTACGGTGTCCAGGTGTGGGGGCCTGATGTGGTGCTGAAGCTAATGACGGACTGCGAGAATTCCGCGAGGTACTTTGACAGATCCTTGCGGGACCCAATGGTGCAGTTACAAAGGGAATTTCTTCGGGAGATTGCGGGTGTGAAAGTCTCGCCTGATAAGTTGCTGTTTAAGGAGTTTAACCAGCGTCCCTTGCATGTCTTCTGGCTGGAACTGTTTCTGAGGTTTTGGAATGACCTGGTCAAGCAGAAGGACACGGTCTACCACCAGACGTTGCGAGGTGAAATTCGTTCGGCTCTCAGTACTGAGCATTATGATGGCTGGGGTTCTAAGGTGCTGAAGATTCTGAAAATGTTAGGGACGGATTTGACGGCCTTGGGGGGTGAATTGGACTTGAATGCGCGTGTGGAACGTATTGCTGGCACGGAGCTAAATGTGTCTGCTCTCACTAAAAAGTTTGCTGATAGAATGGATGCGGATTGGGAGGATAGGAGTTTGGAAGATGACCCGCGGCTTTTCAACCCAGTAGACCCCGTACCAGGGGTTGGAGTTAAGATGTGCAGGTACAAAAATTGGATGGGTGACCCGGTTGACAGGGGGTACATTACTCAGCGGCAGCATGTGAACCTGATGCGTTTTCGGCTGTGTGTGTGGGGCATTGAAGCCAATCGCCCTAGGGGTAGGCAACGAGTAGCGCGTGTCTGTCCTATGTGTGCCGTGCAGGGGTCGCCGGGGAGAGTGGAAGATGAGAAACACATCCTCATTGAATGTCCCGCTTACGATGATTTGCGTGATAAGATATGGGAAAGTGGTGTCCCACGGGATGCTGATATGATTGCTGTCATGGGCATGGAGAATCAGGCATTGCTTGCTAGCGTAATCACTAGCATGCGAAGTCGCAGGATTGCGCAGACAGGGTTTATCATATGATTAGCGTTCTGTTTGTTGTCTCTTTTGTTTACTTTTCTTCTTTTGGTTGTTTTCGCGTTTTGTGCTCGCGATCCATGAGCCTTCTGGCTCGGACGGATCTTACGAGCTCGGTACGAAGCTTGTAACATACATACATACATGTAGGCATGATGACTTTAAGGTGTGTAATGGTTGCATTTTTAAATGGCTAGTCTTATAGGTGTCAGGCAGGGAGGCGCTTCGGTGAGGACCAAAAATGTCCAGTGGTCAACAGCCGGACGGAAGTGGTGAACAGCATGCAGACGTAGAAGCTTTACTCCAGACAGGCCAGGAGCTTGAGGGCTGCATGCACAGCGTGCTTTCCTCCGAGGATGACGTCGCCCAAACAATAACTGACGCCGAGGAGCATAACTACAATGCGCTGTACCTAGCAGCATGCACAGTACCTGAAGTCATCATTGATATTGCTGGACACAGGGCTCGGATCCTTGGTGGCCACAGGGCCTGGTACGCATCCATTTTCGTGCTACCAGTGCCGCCCGATACAGTCCCAAAGCACGAGCCGCTCCAGCTGACGCCCAACTACACCAAAAAGACTGACAGCGCTGAGGCGTCAGTAAAGCAACTCACCGTCACGTCACCCACGACGGGGCCCCGGGCTCTCTCACTCCTGCAGTTCTGGTAAGGCCCGCAGGACTACCCACACGCCCATGCCCCCATGCATCCGCCCATGCTGCTCACCCCCATGCTGCCCCGGCGCAGGCTAGAACACGCGGATGGCTTGCCCAGCGCCCTGTACGAGACCCCAGCTAGCATGGGCGACTTGGACCTCCGCTGCAGCCGGGAAGTGCGGGTTGTGGAGCCCAGCGGCAAGGTACGGTACGGCAACGCGGGTACGACAGAGCGGGCGAGGGACAGGCAGATTAATGCGGCAGCTCAGCTCGTGATGGAGGCAGGAGGGAAGCGGGCACCAGCAGCTGCCGTGACCATGCATCCATGTGGGCCCTGGTTAAGGAGATGAGATGGGGAGCAGCAGCGGCCAAGGCGTGCTGCGTATGGAAGGGGTGCTCCCCTGCTCCGGCATGTTGGATGGACTGCTTGCGGACGCTCATAAATGGCGCCATCCAGCCCCGAGATACTTGTGGGGGAGGAAAGCCAGTTTCGTAAGTGCTGTACATGTCTACACGCACCCACCCCCGCAGGCCCAGATGTCCCTGCACGAGTACGTCAAGCTCACGGGCGCCATCCTGGGGGGACAGCACCTGGTGGGGCGCTCGCTGCGGATCCTCTGGTAAGAGCGCAGCGCCTTGCATGCAGGCAGGCTGGCATGCAGGCGGGAAGGCACGCACGCAACCCCTATCCAGCACGCATCCAGCACGCGGAAACTAAATACAGGAAGCACGCAACCATGCTTTGGCAGCGGCGGGCTGCCAACATGGCCCAGGGCCGGCGAGGGGCTGTAAGGGCTGATGGGCTGCCCTCGGGGGGGGGGGGGGGGTGGACGACTGCATTTGATCGCAGCCAGGCGTTGTTGAAGAGCTTAACTCCAGTTTGGACTTCGTCTTAGGGTTGACGGTCGCATCCAGAAAGGCCGCAATCCACCAGGCGCTATGACCATTGCAATTTAGCGAGCAGGGTTAGACGGGGCTGTGCTGTGTGCTCGTTACCCCTGCTGGCATCTATCACCTGTCACGCTTTGGCCCCTTAGAGGGGTCCGGCCGAGTCGCCCAACCGCCGCCAACCACCTCCACCACTGGCACGCATGCAGGTGGGATGAGGCGGACGAGGACGGCAACTACAAGCCGATCTGGTTCCTGGCGCAGGTCCACAAGTACGATGCGGAAACTGGCGTACATGCGGTACGACACAGTGTCGTACGTCTCGCACACGCATGCACAGCACTGGGTAGTTGGCCGCCGGACCATGGGTGTTCCAGCGTGTCTGAAACGGTGCATCCCTTAGGCCGCCTGCACTGCACTGCTGCACGAAAACCCCAACTTGTAATCAGGTGTAAAAATACGCGGCGACAACATCGGTACATTACACGCGCATGGAGCTGCTTTACACCCCCAAACACTAGTCAGGAAGTAACGTTGTACTGTTCTCACCTGGGCTGTGCGCGCCTCGGCTGTACGGCACCGGGCACTCCCCCAACTTCCGCCTGCACGCCCGCAGATCCGCTACAAGACACAGGAGATGCCGGACAACCCGCAGGAGACCGTGATCCTGGCCCTCACGCTCCATCACATGAGTCGCTTCCAGCCGGAGGGTCTGGACAAGGCAGAGCCGGCACGCCCCTGGCCGGTGCAGCCGGTTGCAACACCTGAGGTGAGGAAAATGCGGAAAAGATGAAACGCCTTCATACCTCACCTCAATTGCACCGGCAGTCAACTGTGCTTGCCTACCAGCGCGCTCGCTACGAACTCCTCCTGTTAGGACTGCGGGTTATCATTGGTTAGGACTGCTTGGGAGCGTGGGCACTAGGTGTCCATTGTGTAGTACTCGTGCATGCGCTTCCTCCTAGCTAATTACCGGCACCCTCTGCCGCCTTCCCCTTTCCGCTACCGGACACCTTCCGCACAGGCCGGCGGCGGCGCAGCGCGGCTGGGCTCAGGCAGCCTCTCACCGCCTGCTGCTGCCAGCCCAGCGGCAAAGCACGCCGCCGCAGCAGCAACCACAGCAACCGCAGCCGAGGCAGCAGCACCCCCATCGGTAGGCCCAGCAGGCCCCGTAGCTCCCACCAACAAGCTAAAGCTCCTAACGGGGCAAGCCCCGACCGATGGCTGCGTCTCCGTAAAACTCAAACTGGCTGGAGAAGCGGAGGGCCCTGCTGCTGGTCCGGCTGCTGCTGCAGCCAACCTGGAAGAACCGAATCCGTTTTCCGGAAAGAAGCAGAAGCCCCCAGCAGCAGCAGCAGCAGTGGCGAGTGCTTCAGCACTAGCAGCGCTTGACCCGGCAGCAGCGAATGGGCAATCCGCAGCAGCCGCTGACAGCTCTGGAGAGGAGGACCCGGGCGCGGCTGCGGGAGCCCGTGCTGCAACCAAGCTGGATTCCCCACCGGCTGCTTCGGGACGACAGCCCCTGCCCCATGCGAATCAGGCCAAGCCCGAGCCCTTGAGCAGCCTGCCGTCGCGCGACTCTGGTCGTGTTCCACGTGAGCTGCTTCGGCTGCTGGGCGGCGCGGCGTCTCCGCAGGATTCTCATCTGCGGCTGCAGCAGGAGCCCCCGCAGCGTACGACCATGGTTTCCACTGCAGCTGCCGGTCTGGATCAGAGGGCGGTACGGCAGGGCGGCAGCGGCTCCGCAGCCGGCGGGTTGCGAGTGGGGAGTAGCGGAAGGGGGCGTGGCAGGGGCCGCGGGAGGGGGCGGGGACAAGGCCGGGGCATGATGGGCATGAGGCCGCCGGGAGGTAGCGCGGGAGCTGGGACGGAGGTGCCGGCGGCACGGCAGCAGCAGCAGGTGCTTAGCGGAGGACGAGGACGCGGTCGCGGCAGAGGGCGAGGGCGACGGGGTAGGAGTGCTGGTGTCAGTAACTTGCAGGTGCAGGCACTCCGGGTGCGCAGGAAGTACGCAGCAGCAGGGGGGCGAGGAGGGCGAGGTGGGAGGAGTGCTGTGGGTGAGGCCAGGGCGGGGGGGCAGCGGAAGGGGTATCCCTCCGCGACGGACGGTGGGGCTGCCTCCTCCTCACAGACACAGGACGACGAGGACGAACTGGCGAGGGTGATCAAGGGCGATGATAATGATGATGATGATGATGATGATGAGGAGGAGGAGGAGGAGGAGGAGGAAGATGATGGAGAGAGCATTGACGGCACGGGCGAGGGTAGCAGGGATGCTGGTGCTGCCGCGGCCGCCGCAGCGACAGCGGCAGCAGCGGCAACTCAACCCACCACTTCCGCCGCTGCTGCCGCCGCATCCACTGCAGCCACTCCGGCGCTGTCATCACCCTCCGCGGCCGGCGCCGCCGCACGCATCGCCGCGCGCATGGTCTGCAACGTGGATTTCCGTACCTACGAGGCTGCCGCGCTGGCCCGGCGGGCTCTGCTACGTGCGGAAGCTGCCAGGCCCACCCTGCCCGCTAACAGGTGCTCGCCTGTGCAGCAGGCGCGGCTATTTGCCGCCGCCGCTGCGGCTGATGGGCAGCCGACAGCAGCCAGGAAGCAGCGGAAAACGCGCTCTCTGGCGGAGCTAGCAGCGGCCCTGCCCCAGGTTCCCAGAGTGAAGCATGCATGGCCACCGCTGGTGCCGGCTGCTTCGGATCCCAGGAACCAGCCCGAAGCCCTGGCGGCGGCGGCGGCTGATCCCGCAGCAGCGGTGACGGGAGGGGGTCAGCCGCATGTCGTGCTGAAGGGAGCGCCAACTACTCCTGCGGACATGAAGGGCAGCCGCGATGCGCGATTGGCGGCAGCGGAGGAGGAGGAGGTGGACGGTGGTGGTGGCGGCGCTGCCGAAAGGGCGGTGTTGCGGGCAGGCAAGCGTCAAAGAACGGAGCGGTCGGAGGGAGGCACAGGAGGAGGAGGCGAGGCGGCGGCAGCAGGGCCGGGGACTAGGTCGGCCTCCGCGGGGTCCATGCGCTCTGCCAGCCCTGTTGCTGTAGCCAGCAAGCCTGCTGATGGGGATGGCAAGGCAGATGCCACAGGCGCGGATGCAGGGGGGCCGGTTGCTGCAGGCGCTGCTGCTGCTGCTGCTGCTGGCGAGCCGGCTGCGGCTGCGGTGTCGCCAACAAAACGGCCACGCGGCCGGCCGCCAAAGCGCCGTAAGCTACCTAACGGCGCCAGCCCCGCTGCTGCAGGAGGAGGAGGAAGTCGAGGCATGGCTGTGGTTGCTGCGACTGCTGCTGTTGCTGGGATTCCGCTGGCACCTACCTCTGCCACCTCAACTGCGTCTCAGACGGCGGCGACAGCGGCCCCAGCAGGTGTTGGCGGCGGTGCAGGAGGCAGCGCAGATGCCCATGCAAAGCTGGATGCGGGTGCGGGAAGTGTTGACTCAGCGCAGGGCAAGGGGACACGGGAGGTGGCATCATCAGGCGAGGGGATCACGCAACAGCAGCAGCAGCAGGTGCCGGAGCAGGTGCCGGAGCAGGTGGGTCAGGCGCAGCCGGAGGGGCAGCAGCACCAGCAGCAGAAGAAGGAACTGCTGAGGTCGCAGCCGCAGCGGCTAAGTGACGGGGAGGCGGAGCGGCAGGAGGAGCGCCCTACCGCAGGCGGCTCTGCTGCTGCGGCCACCCAGTGGGAAGCGACTGCCGCTGCTGCCGCTGCTGACAGGGAGGCGGCCCAGGATCCGGACCCGACAGCCGCCTCCGCACATGCAGCAGCGGCACTTCCACAACCTCCCCTGGAGCTGCTTGCCGGGCCCGCAGCCGCCGCCTCGGGGGGCCAGCGGCATGGATCCCGTCGTGCGGCGTCCAACGCCGCCGTACAGCATGCCGTACCGACCATCTCGTTAGCCATAGCCGCGGCGCAGCTGGCAGCTTCGGCATCGGCGTTGCAGCGTGCTTCTCAGGCCATGAGGTCTGAGCATGTTGGTGTTGGCGCGGCTGTCAGCAACGGCGTGAGTACCGGTATCAGCAACCGGACCTCGGCTGCGGGGGCGTCGACTGCTGCTGGGGATGCTGGGGAGCAGTTCAGTGGCACACAGACGCTGTTGCAGCACCTGGCACAAGCATTGGCAGTGGGCCCGATGCATGGACGTCTTGCGTTGATGTCCGGTTTGGCGGGGCTGGTCGCGGAGGCTGCGACCACCCTGAGCGCCGGTGGGGGAGTATCTGGAGTGGATGGAGCAGGGCAGTCGGTGCCGCTGCTGGATTGGGAAGCGGAGGCAGCGGTTGCGGTGGAGGCACCGACGGAGGCACCTCGAAAGGGGAGGCAACCAAGGAGGGCGGCAACAGCGAAAGGGGAAGGTAAGGCGACGGAAGGTTCGCTAGCTAGTGGGGCTGCAGCAGCCACGGGAGGTGTTGCTGTGGCTAGGTGACGGGTGCTAGGCTGGCGGGCGCTGCGGCAGACGCGGCAGCAGCGGGGAGGCAATGAGGGAAGCGGAGGCGCATGTAGAACTTCACCGCAAAGGTCCAACCAGTTGGAAACTATGAGGGCTGGCCCTGGCGTCGCTCCTGCCGCCGCCTGACAATCCAACAACGCTTCTCCCCCTCCAACGCCAATGCAGGCGAAGCCATTCCCTCGGCTGCGCCTCCTCCTACGATGCCTTCTGCCGAACCCCCGGCTGGCGTAATCGATCCCGATGCTTCCGCTGCTGCTGCTGCTGCTGCCACCGAGCTGGTCGGTGCTATCCCAGCAGCGGCGGCTGTCGTACCTGCTGTCGTACCTGCTGCCGTACCTGCTGCCGTACCTTTGGCCGCCTTACCTCCGGAGTTCGCAGACATCATGAGGCTCGCGGCTGCCGCCACTGCCACCTCAAAGCGCATGCGACATGCAGCCCCTGAAGTCCCGCTCGGAGGCGGCCCGGATGGCCGTGGCAGCCTCACTGCGAGGGCCGCAGTACCGGCGTTGCCGCCTGGTTTTCATCCTTCGCGGCGCCCAAACGCTGCTACACTTCCACCTCCACCTCCTCCTCCAGCAGCCGCTCCTGCTGATATACCCGAGGAGGCTGAGCAGCAACAGCAGCAGCAGCAAGTCGCTGGGGGCCGCAAGCGGCGCCAAGCGGCGCAGCAGGAGCCGCAGAAACCACAGCAGCAACAGCAGCAGAAACGTAGGCAGCCGCCGCGGTCACGGCAACGTCAGGAGGAAGGAGAGGAGGAGGCGGAGGAGGAATGGCGGCCGCCGCAGCATGTTCTGGCAGCGGTTAGGCGCCGGGCGGCGGCAGAAGCAGCAGCAGCAGCAGCGGCGGAACAGAGCCGGGGCTTGGCCGCATCCGGTCAGGTGCAGGCGGCGGCGGCAGCAGCTGACGGGATGGCCGCTGGCGGCACCACTGGCGGCGGCGGCAGTGGCGGCGGCGCTGACGTCATGAACGTACGGCGGTTACAGCACGGCGGCTCCGACTCCACCAACAACCTGGCTTTCGTTGGCGGCGGCCTGCATGCAGCGCTGCGGGATCCAAGCCAGGGTCAAGACCACCGGCCCATTCACCCCGATGCGTCTGCACCCGCGGATGCCGCGTTGGGAGCGCTACCCTCGCCCGTCCGCTCCGCTGACCTGCAAGCCTTTGCTTCCGCGATTCTGCGTGCTCATGATGAGAGGCTAGCCGCACCAGAACCTGGGCCATCGCAACCGCTGTCCAGGATGTTGCCGCGCGACACGGTCGTGCCGTTGGAGGACGGACTCCGCCGCGGCAGACCGCCGCCGCCGCCGTCACCTTTTGTCTCCGCGACGGGGCATGCAGGAGCTAAGGCGGCGGCAGCGGAAGCGGCGAGGGTGAGCCCTGGCAGGCGGGCGAGTGCGGTGGCGGCGGCGGAGCGTCCGCAGCGCGGCCGGCGGGTGACGCCGAATGTGGCCGAGGTTGCGGCGGCGGCGGCGGCTGCTGCTGTCGGCGCTTCTGCTCCGGAGGATGCCCTGGAGGCGGAGCTCTGCTTCCCGCTGATGCAGCAAGAACTGGAGCACTTCCTGCAGCAACAACACCAACAACAGCAGCAGCAGCTGCAGATGCAGCAGCCGGAGCAGCAACCTTTCACGCAAGAGCAGCAGGCGACGGAACACCCGCACCTGCAACAACAGCTGCAGCAAGAACAACAGCTACAATACATGCTTCACCCCGACCCGCAGCATTGGGAGATGCTCCGAAGACAGCCGCAGCAGCAGCTGCTGCTGCAGGAAGAGGCCCATCAGCCGCAGCAGCAGCCGCAGCAGCAGCTGTTGCTAGAGGCACATCACGACCTGCCGCCGCGCGCGTTTTCGAGGCAAGCCGAGCTGCCTCCATCATGGCTAGAACGACCTCCACGGCGTTCACACCAGCACCAGCACCATCGCCAACAGCAACAGCAGCAACAAGTACAACAGCAGTTGGATGAAATCCTTCAACAGCTCATCGAATCGCAGCACACGTCAACCCACCAGCAGCCGCATCAACACCACCATCAGCAACACCCGCAGCACCTTGCCCCACACCAATTGCAACGCCGCCGGGTGTTCCAGGTTGGCGGAGCGGATGAGGCGCTTGCGTCCCCTCCTCCTTCGCAGCCACCGCAGCAGCACCACCACCACAAGGGCTTCCAAACCTCGCACTCGTCCTTGCAGCAACCGCAAAGCTACACAGACCACGCAGATGCAGCAGACATCCTGCAACAGCCCACATCCCGGCCGGTCCGCCTGCTGTCGTTAGGCGTGAACGGCAACGATAACAGCGTGCGGCTGCCGGGTTTAAATGTCGATGTAACCGACGTTTCTCAATATGCAGGTCTCACGGCTGCTGCGGCGGCGGCTGCGAGTGGAGGCGACGGCGGCGACGGCGGTAATGGAACGGGCGGTGACGCGGGGCGCCTGCGCGGTGGCAGTCCCCCTCTGGACATGTTGAACCCCGCGTCCATGTGGCTCAAGCTGCGGCCGTTGCCTCAGAGCCGTTCGCCTCAAGTGATACCTCACAACATCCTGTCTTCACATCATTTGCATAGTGTTGCACCGTCGTCGCACGGAAGCCAGCAACCGCGTGCTTCGCGCCTCGGGGGTCAGTTGATTAGTGTCAGCGGCGGCGGTGGCGGCGGCGGCGAGTTGGCGGATGTGGGCGGGGGAGGCAGCGGCAATGGCAGCGGGCGAAACAACCCTGGCAGCATGATGGGCTTGTCGGAGGAAATCGCATCGTTGCTATCTGGATACAACCCGAGCGCCGCTGCAAATGGTTTGGACGCTGGCGGCGGTTTGTACAGCACACGAACCACGACGCGCATGGCGTCCGAGGAACGCCATCACCCGTTGTTGTTTGGAGGCGGCGCGCAGCAGTCCTCACAATCCTTTGCCCTGTTGCAACACCAGCAGCAGTTGCAACGGAACGCGGGAAGCATGGCGAGCAGCGGTGGTACCGGGGCCGGCGGCGGTGGCGGCGACGGTGGTGTGACAGCGCAGCAGCTGTACGCCAGCATGCGTGAAGGGCCGTACGGCGCTTTACATGACAATAACGGCAGCAGTAGCATTAGCCGTTACGCTTCCGTACAATTGGATCCACAGCAGCTGGTGTACTTGCGTGGGTCCAACATGCAGTTGACGTCATCACAGCAGCATTCCGGACAGCATTACGGGCAAGACGGCGCTGCAGAGCTTAATTGGGCTGGGTAGCTGCGGGATGGGGAAGCAAGGGGCTTACGGCGCACGGGGAGCTTGAGTGGTTTGCTGGGAGGGACTTTAGGGCTTGGATTTAGGCGCTTGGATGGGTACTGGTGTCTGGGACGGCACTGATAGAGGAGGGAGATGTGCGGGATGGCTTTGAGAGAGGGGGAGGTCCTGAGGTGTTTCCAAAAGGGTGTGGGTGCTTTGGTGGGGCATTGCTAAGAAAACTGTTGTGTTTAGAGAACCTGGCCGCTGTATTGAACTTACTGTAATTGCTGAAGCTGTTCCAGGAAATGGAAAAAATGTCGCATTGGCGGAGGAGGTCTGGGGTGGGCGGGGAATGTCTGATGGGAGGTGTGGGAGCACTTTACGGTATTGCAAAGAGATTCTTTCCTCGGCTATGAGCAGGTGGGTGTGCGGTGAAGGGATTATACCAGCACTTGTTTCGGTTGTTGTGGTGATTGTGGTGGCGGTGGTAGGCGGCTTTGCGAGGATGAGTAAGCGGGCGATGGGAGTGCGAGGACTGGCTACCGCGTCCGTTAGGTATTGTCATCATGATAATGCGCCTGCAGGGCGCCTGATATTAGTCATGATGTTAGTCCTCCTTCCGTCTTGCCACCAATCGGTTGCCAACTGGCTAGCTGTTTGCTTGTTTGCGGCGATGAGGGATGCAGACATCCCGGATGCAACGATACTCGGTCGTGTGAACAAAATACGGTGTGATACGGCGTCATCCTAGGGTGGCAACGACACTGTTCAAGACGTGTAGTGGGTAGACACTAGCAACTGATAAGTTTGCGGTAAAAGGAAAAACTAAGGGCTGTGCTTCTGAAAGGCGGCCGGACGTGCTTTACGCCATGGGTCGGGTGGGCTTTTGCCGTGCGTGGAGGTCTGGAGGACTGCATGCATGCGCGGCTGATACCGGTAGGCATGACACGATGGTTGCGGGGCGTCCCAGTTGATACCGGCAACTTGGCCTCGTCAGCGGATAACAGGGATACCGGTAATAACAACAGGCATCTCTCATGCGAGTTTGTATGACTTGTTACCGGCATGCGTGGCGCGTGGTGCTATTTTGCCGTGCGGCGTGCAACTTAACAGTGCGGGTTGAGTAGTGTCGCAAAAATGCCGCGAAGCGTTGGTGTGTCACCCCGACTCACCACACCACAGGACGTTACTCCGGGCCCATGTAGGCACGGAAGAGGGATAGTGATAAGGGACGAGGCGTGTTTGATCTTAGGTTCGTCTGCCGTATGCCCCAGCAAGCGCAAAAGCCGCCGTGTGTATGGTAGGGAAGGTTGGTAATGACCCACGGGTCACTACGCATTATAAAGTTTTGTATTGGTTTTGTTTCTATTGTTTTTGTTTTCAACGCATGAAAGACATGCAACAGCGTGGGGCAAACCCGTTAAAGACGTAAGACAGTGCGGTTTGACCTTCGCACATGGAAAGAGAGGTATTACACTGGGACGGAGATGGTGCCATCACACCTTGTGTGGAGGGGAGCCAAGCACATGCTTTGCAATGTCATATTTCTTCGTACCGGTGGTCGAAAGTACGACAAGCATGTCGACTACGACAACCAACGTTAATGTTGGCGACAGCAGGGTACCATTCCACCGTACAACAACACATGACATCTTAGCATGCACACATCAACTGTGGCCCCATGAATCGTCTCCTAAACCTTAAAGCAATCTGCCACAGGGGCCCTCTTAAAGGCCACCTGTTTAGCTGCTTAGCAGCGCGGTGCAGTCAAGGCCCCTTGCCTAGTAAGCTGCTACAGCATAGCGTACAACCCCTACAGCATGCAACAGCTGCTGTCATGGCCCTACTGCTGATGCTTAAGCCCCTTCCGCGTCGCCCTGACGCCGCCGGTGCTCTTGCACTTCGGAAATCCGCCAGATAACATCATCAACCCTTTCACCCTCATCTCAAATGACGTCGTACAGTGACCCATGGTTCCACAGAAGCCAGGTGTACAGGCTCCACACCGCCTGCAGGAATGGCACATTCGGCTGTTCATGCTTAGTAATGACCAGATCAGAACACTTCGAATGTATCAATGTTCACCCATCATCAAAAAGCGCGATTGAAGAAAACAGTCAATTGCAATCTCTTGAGAAAAGTGATTCTCCGTATAAGCAACATTTAGAACAAGCCGTAGATCATGCTTCAGAAGGTATACCTCTCACCGTGAAACCGGCCGCAAGCAGCGATATCGCCGTACTGAGCTGTGCCGTACTCCAACCTAACCGATCCACCGCGTAGCCGCCGAACAACGTTGACGTCGCCTCCGAAACCGTGTACGACAGGAACTCGAGCGCGAAAACCCGGCCGCGGATTCCCTCGGGCAGGCGGTGCTGCAGAATGGCCAGCGAATGTACCCACAGCGTGTTACTGCCTGCGCGCAAAGCAATGCAAAGCACGACGACAGCAAAGTACCTTACGCAAAGTACCTTATAGCGAATGACACGAAAGACAAAAACCAAACACAAGCCCACCTTGTCTTTAAGCAACAACCAACAACGAATACGGTAGTACCGGTAGCCAAACTATCCAACACATCATGCATGCGTGCGCTCTGCGCCCTCTCACCGCAAGCCCGAATGCCACTTGCAGCCAGCACTGGGGCAATGTTGCGCGCGCATGCTAGCAGCGAGTATCCCAATGCAAGCAGTCCGAAGGCGGCGGCGATGGACAGTCGCCACCAACGTGCGCTCGCGGGAACGAGCGCATTTGCAACCAGGGGGCCCACCACGCAGCCCACACCGACTGCCGCCAGGATAAGGCCCAGGGTTTGGTCCGGGCCGCCCAGGGTCTGTTAGTACGGTAGTTCACGACAGTACGACAAAGGGATGAGGAAAGTCAAGAGCATGAAAAGGAATCGGAAGGGAGAAGCAGCAGCATGATGATGATGAGGAGGCATTGGAGGCAGCTGGGAGCATGCATGGGAGGAGGAAGAGTGCGGATGGTTGGGGAGGAGGTGGTTGGTTGGGGTGAGGGCAGATGAAACCGATCCCGGGTTGCTCTCCAACAACGCGGTACGGCAGTACGCGGTACGGCACAACCTCCGGAGATCGTCAAGCCCACCTGCATTTCCGGCATCAATGACAGCCTGGGCAGCGTTGCGTTGCGGATTCGGGCGGGTGGTTGGCGGCATGTGGGCGGGCAGAAAAGCACAAACAGGCAGGGGAGGAGCTGCGACGGTTAGGGGAACCGGTTAGGGGGTTGGATCACTTTGGTGTCATCCGCGCCCCCTCTTGTCCATCTACCCACGAACACCGCTACACTCTGCTGGCCTCCACAGCAGGGGCCTCGCCCTGCCTTACTTTCCCTCTCCCTCGCCCATCCTTTCTCTCCCTCCACCCACCTCCCGTTGACGATGTCCGCGGCGCCCCACACCAAGCTACCCGTGGCCTTGACCCAGATCAACGCAGCTACGTCCCAGTTCCGCCGCTGGACCAGAAAAGCCAGCGCGCCACAGCAGCAGCCGAAGCAGCAGCCACTACTACCAACACCGCCGGCAGCAGGATCGTCACGAAACGCGCCCGCCGCCGCCGCCTCTGCTGCTGCTGCTGCTGCGTCATGGTCCTGCAGACTGCCGGTACCTCCTCCTCTTTCTCCTTTGTCATCCTCAACATGCTGCTTCTGCTTCTGACTCTTTTGTTGACGAAGCTCTTGACTCGCGCAGTCATACTCGCCGCCGCCGCCGCTGCTGCCGTCGTACGGTTCTGGAGGAACGTAGCCTCCCTCAAGTGACCCATGGGTCATCAGGCCCTCATCCTGATCCAACGATGCTGAAGCCGGCAGAAGCAGCAGCGGCTGCAGCAACGACTCAAAATCCGCCGGCGGTTGCCCGGGCAGAGTGCTGCCGATGCTGGACTGCGTTGCGCGGCTGGTAAGAAGGCAGCTGGCGGTCTCATCCTCCCGCCACACCGCCCTGGGGGTACCGGTCGGCGATGCGCTGCCAGCCGTCTCCAGTCCTCCGCTTTGGCGGTTGCTAACGGTATTTCTGCTGCCGCTAGCGTCGGAGGAAAGCAGGGCTTGCACCTCCGGAGCGAGCGACGGCGCGGAGGCTGCGGCTTCTGGTCTTAAGCTTCCACCCTGCTTGCTTCCATGACTCGTACCGGCGGCAGCAGCGGGGGAGGAGCTCCGTGCACTGCGGACCACTCGGTGCAGCCTTGCTAGCGGCAGGAAGAATGCCGCCGCTAGCAGAAAACAGACGCCCTCGGTACGGAAGCAAACTGCCGTGCCGTACGTTTCTGCCGTACGACCCGCCTGCATGGCCAGCAGCGGTATAAAATCCTTTGTCAAGCTCAGGAGCTTCAAGTTTGAGCAAGCGTGACCATTCAGATGACGTAAAGCAAAACCCTATTGCAACTACCTACCAGGGATGCGCCCGCAAGTGCCATCAGAGAAAACCCAAACGTGTCGAGGGTCCCCGCGACGCATAGCAGCCGGGCTTGTACGACAACGGGTAAGGCTGCCGTACGGGCCGGGTCGTACAGCGCTTGTGCGCCGTACTGGATCAGTACCAGCGGGTACATCAGCCTGCATGCACGCATGCGGACATGCAGGTTGCTCTGCACGCATAGCAGTAGCCGCGACACAAATCGATCGGTTTTAATTTGCGCCGCTCACCAGATCTGCGCAGTTTGTCGTACGACGGGTAATGTAAAGCTAACCGCCGCTTGCATTAGGCACGACGCAACCAACAATGCCCCCAGATTAAGGCGGTCGGCAGCCAGGCCGGTGATCGGGAAAAGCAGCAGGTACGGCAGACGGCGGCATACGAGGAAGAGCGCGATGTGAGTGGCTGCGTTTCCCGCGGACGAGAGCTCATTAATGACGGCGTACGCAGCGACGAATGTGAACCTGGTTGGGTGTTAGTTGGTTGGAGGTTGATCGTTGGTAAGATCAGGGGAAACCAACGGTGGAGTACGGTATAGAAGGAGGAGGAAACCGGCTCATCTGGCAAGGCTGCCACCACGTGCTTCATCGCAGGTCATCACGGTCACGTGGGAGATAGAGCGAGGAGGCGATTCAGTTCAAGCCGGTTGGAGAGCGGTGATGACTCGGACTATTAGGGATGTAGCAGGGACCTAATGGGATGTCTGACTCTTAAGGGCAGTTGAGGAGGAGGATCGAAGGTGCCTTTGGAAAGCTGTGAACTCCTATTTATCAAAGGCACCTTCGATCCTCCTCCTCAACTGGTGAACTCCTATTTATTTGGTCGGGTCTAAGTTCAATGAGAACGACACAGCTGAGCAAGGCCCGCAGTGGCCGCGTGCTGTAGATCACCACCCGCCGCTTTCCTCGCGAGCAAACGCGCCGCCCCCTCACCAGTTGCCAGCCTGCTTCACGCATTCCGCGATCCACAGCGATCCATATGCCTTGTGATCGATAAAACAGGAGAAATAGTCTCGCAGGCAAACCGCGCGGGGTGACATTCTCCAGCTGCCGTAAATTCTATTCGGGAGATACTGACAGGAAACGGATACTCATTCCATGTATGTGAACGTGGTTAATATCGTCCCGGCTGGTTGTTGATTGGCTGCATGTTTGCCCTGATCGCGCCCTTTCCACTGCTTGCTCGGCGGCGTCCCAAAAAAACTACCGGTACAGCAGGGTACAGCCTACGAACTTGCTTGTCGTTAGTATCTTTGGCAGGTTGTAAGAATTGTACTCTAAATGTCTCCAATTCCATAACGTGTCGCAAAATGTGCAACATCCTGTCCTAGCGTCCTGCACCATGACGTTTCATTGGACGCAAGCCTCCCTGTCCCTTGCATCCGCTGTGCATGTGGATTCCAGTGCCTGTCACTGGCGACGAGTTGCTAGTACCTGTAAACGCTTAATAAATTTCCTTTTCTGCTGCTTTGTCCCTGTCTATGCAAGTCCCCAGCCCGCGACACACCCAGACTTTCCGTTTCGGTTGCAGTCTCCCGCTAATTGGTCATTGCAGAATGCACGTGGCAGTTCAGCACTAAACCGCATTCCCAGTTGAGGGTGCCTGCAGGTCTCAAGGTACGACCGGTATAAACGTTGCCGTGCCATGTTGCCCCTGCCGTATTGTGAAGGTGTCCGTGCGACCCTGATGCCCTACGCAATATACCCTATCATGACTAGTCTACGATGCTCAAAAATTAATATGACCTCGCAACAAGTTGGCTAACTCGATGACGATAACATGTATCCATGGCAGTTAGCAATGTCCCCTTACTTCCCATGGCAGTTAGCAAAGTCCCCCTTCCCATGGCCGGCGCCATGTTGAATCGACATACTGACTGCCAGAGCGTGTTCTAAGCTTCGATACTTTGGTCAAAGGAGCGTAGAAACGCGACGGGATGGCCGAATGTCCAGGCTTGCACGGACCTCCCAAGCTAAGATCCCTAGTAAGCAGCGCGCCACTGCTAATATATAGCCACATAAGCAGTAAACATCTCTCGTCTGGCACGGCCTAACCAGGGCGAGGCCAACAGGCCTTTGACGCTTGGATGAAACCCGACAGTCGAAAAGCAGCGATGCTGGTTGCCGAGCATCATCGGAGTAAGGATCGGGCAAACGAATACAGATCTTACTTGTTTGTGGCCTTTGAGCTAGAGGATACCAAGTTCGTCGATACATCCGACACCTGATCAGGACGAGACCTATTCCAGCAAGGCGCAAGGGTTGAGGCGATAGCAAAGATGTAGAAAAAACATAGAATGTATTTATGCTTCTAGCGGTCATGTCGGTAATGCTAACTGTTCATGCTCGTCTTTCGTTGGCCAGGCCGAGAGGCCATCTGCATGTACACAGGAGCTTATAGTTTAGGTAGGGCTTCTGGTTTAATGCATCAGCTCTTCGACAGAAGTAGGGTTCCCAGGGCATTATAGTCCTGATTCCGGCCGCCGTATACCTGAACAATCGCAAGACTGGCTTGGGTCGCTGGCTCCTTTGGGGCCGCTACACTGCTACAAGGCTCCTCGAGTGTTGATTCTGGGCTCTTAGCTATGGCGCCAGGCTCTGCCAACGAGACGGGCTCATTACTTGGACATGACTCCTCGGCGCTGAAGCAGCCATTGCTTAGCGACGAGCCGCAAGTCAGTAGCCATACAGCCCATGATAATGCCGAACGTGGCCAGGCTTGCGACGCGGAGCTCTCGCAAACGGAACAATGTTGCAAGGGTGCTCGACGCTGTTCGACGCTTCAGACTACGGCGGCGCTGCTTACACTTCAGTTAGGCTGGGGTCTCTGGCTTCTTCCATGCGACTTTGCTCGCCTTGGTTGGATTCCTGGCTTCGGTAAGCGTCTTCCCACCGGCGGCGAGCCCATTAGTATTCTTGCATTGCGAAGAGAGGGTCACGCGACCAAAACCCTTCCCTGCTCTTGGAACGCAGCCGCGCTCTTTACCCTGGCGCTCTGTACTACCTACTCTGGATCTCTGTTCACGCGGCTGTATGGCGCGGTCTCGAACGCTGGTATGTAGGAACGGGTGATTGGCCTCAATTCCCACCCGCCTTCACGCCCTTCGAGTCACAGGAAATGTTTTGCGTATTCTTCCCGCCTCATCAAGACCTCCAAATGAATGCCAATTACTATGCAATCCTACACAAAACGCATCGAATACTCCTCCTTGCATGTCACAAACCTTCGGGGCTCCCTTAAAATCCCTTTCGGCTGCCCTGCTGACTTGCTTTACGCAGTGCTTTTCGGGGACGTGGGTGAGGCTGCTGCGGGCCGCAAGGGCCGACTGCTCGTGTACGCGACCATCTACTCGCTCGATGCCACTCGCTGCATCATTCTTCACCTGGCAGCTACCCAGAGCCTCTCGCATGCCCTCACCCCGCTGCTGGGCAGCGCGCTGCCTCTGTGGCAGTGCTCCGCTATTGTAGCTGTGGTGGTGCTGCTGCTGGGGCAGATCAGGTACGGCATCGTATGGATAGCTAGAAAAGGATCTGCCCTTGCCCTGCATCAAACCGTGGCTCCTGGTAAACATGCGTCGTCAGCTCGTCACCTTTTCCGCAACCGACAACCTACCTGTGGTCTTCAGCTCCTCACAACAGCATGCATGCATAATGGCGTCAGTGGTTTCCCCTCCGTCGTCCTATTAAACTCATCTCGTCATCTGTCCTCTCATCCGGCCTTGCTGGCTGCGCTCTGCTGGCTGCTGGCCGCAGGTACCTGACCCAACTGAGCTCCTTCTTCATGGCCGGCACCACAGCGCAAATGATCGCAATCACCATCGTCATCTACGACCTGATCGCCCATTCAGGTGGGGAATACTTTATACAAGGTGGGGGGGGGATTATATAGTAAATGCAAACAACTAGAGTCCCAATCCCATAGCCCGACTCATGCAGGTGGGGGGGGCGCGTGTGTGTACGACGTTTGCGTACGGTGTTTCTTATAAAATATAACAGAATCTTTATGTGGCAGATGTCACATGCCAGCTTTAAGAGGAGGGCCCATACGCCGGCTGCGTGCACACTACCGGTGCCCATCGGCACCTAAGCGGTACCCAAACGTCGTTGAAGAACCAGCGCACTTGTTTTTTTCACATGTTTGTCGCAGGACCTCCTCCTCCCGCTGCTGGCCCCGGCTCCCTGCTCGCTCCCCAGCACCCCCCCGAGCTCTACCGCAGCGTGATGGTGCCGCAGTCGCTTCTGGAGGGCGCTTGGACGCCGGCAGCCATGGCAATCCTGAACATGATTTTCGGTGCGTTGCTTGCACCGATAACTTCTGGTATCTGTTGTTGCTAGACCTGCTATCTACCTTACCAGTAGTAGCCTCGTAGGTACCCTCGTGGGCTTCAATACTGTGATGCGTTTGGGTGTGGACTTGCCTTAGCCGCCGCATCCCTCAGTGGTGTTTACTGTATGCTAACCAAAGGGGCGCATTCCGTTCCCCCAAACGCCGTCACATTCCCCATACCTCAGCCTACGGTGGGCAGTTCGCTTACTTGGAGATCATGACCTCCATGAAGCAGCCCAGCCGCTTCTCGCACGCCGTGAGCCTGTGTACGACAATTATGACGGTGCTGTACGGCGGTTTCGGAGCCGTGGGCTACTGGTCCAAGGGTGCCAGCATCCAGGGTATTGTGATCTTCAACATGACCCCGGGCCCCGCGGCGCAAGTGGCGGCTGCCTTCATCTTCCTTCAGGTACCGGTAACAGGCTGCTGGATGGGTGTCCAAGTACGCGGCTAAAAACGTGTGAAGCTCATGATGCTCTTCGCAGTGCTTGGGAACCCCTGACCCCTGACCCCCTGCATCTCCTCTTCCCCTGCCTCCTCCCCTGCCTCCAAGGCTCTGGCGCAGTACCTGGTCAACCTCAACTGCTGGACGCACAACCTGCTGGTGCTGCTGTCGCGCCGCAGCCGCTCCTTCGCGCAGGAGGACGAGGGGCGGGAGGCGCATGTGAGCCGGGCGGGTTGGGGTTGGTGGCAGTACTGGTGGTGGGCAGGTTGTTGTTGCTGGTGGTGGTGGCGGTGGTGGTGGTGGAGATTGGACCTGATGCGATGGATCTGCTCATCATGCCTCATCGTCGCACCTTACTGCATTACCTTCTGCGTTGACCCCCGCCTCCTCTACTGCGCGTTGCCGCCCCCTTCCACTACCGCAGGTTGAGGGCGAGGCCATGAGCACTGGGGACCACAGCAGCGGCCACGTGAGTCATGCAGTGGTGGTTGGCGCTACCCCGGATAGGCGGCTCGGTTTCAGGAGACGTTATCATGTCACGTGATGTTCATCTCATGTGTTCGAAGAATGTCGGAAAGCCGTTTTGACCTCTAGATCACGACGTGTGAGGAGTGCACGCTGGGACCGTGCGGACTGTGTTGTATTACATTCTTCTCTGGCTCCTCTTTCTAATCATGGCCAAGTATTCAGAAATCAAACGTTGACGCCTAGAATGACCTGCTGGCGCATGCGCCTACTAACCGCCATGCATGGCGCCCCTCTCGACGCATGTGTCCCCCCCACACACACCCCACAACCCAAACCCTACAGTGGTTGGCCACCACCGCCTTCGTCGCGAGCTACTCGGCCGTTGTCGCGGTTGCCGTACCCTTCTTCTGCACCCTGGGTAAGCAATAAACAGGGGAATGTAACAAGTTATACTGCTGGATGTGTATACTGCGGTGGGCGTTTTTGCTGGTGTAACGCCGTGGGATCATCAGCCTTGTTGCTTGTACCACTGCCTTGCATGACCATTAACTTCCGTGCCCTGCGTCACCAGCAGCAGCAGCAGCTCCTAGCTCCATGCATGAACACCGCAACTGCTACCGTCCAACTGCCGCTTGCACTGCCGCTGCCTCTGTTGCCTTGTCATGTCCTCGTCACACTTCTCCTTCCTTCCCTCTTCTTCTCCTGGCCTCACAGTGGGCTTTGTGACCAGCGTCACCTACCTCGCATGCGCTTACACGCTGCCCGCTTGGTTTGCCTTGAAGCTCCTGGCTGACCGGCTGGGCCGGCTTGAGAAGGCCTGGCTCATTACCCTCATCCCCGTGAGCCTTGTGCTGAGCGCGATTGGACTGGTCGCGTCCGTGATTACATACATTAACGAGGCGTCCTCTGGAGAGGGCATGTGAATTTGAAGGTTAAAGAAAGGAAAAGTGTGTGTGGGAGAGAGAGAGAAAGAAAGAGGAAGAGGGTTGGCAGTAGTGATTTAGTGAACCGTGACGGCTTTTGGATGGGCAGCGGGTTGTTGTAGCCATGGATGTTGGTTTTGTCGGTACCTTGCCTTGCGAGTTGTATGCAATGGTTAAGAGGTAGGTTAAGAGGTGTTGCTTGGGTTGGGGTATGCCCCTTGGGCTTCAGACCCATGGGTCAGTTTTGAGCTCCACGCGCTTTGCCAGCACAATCCGCCTTGCCAATCTGCTATATTAGACGGGGATTAAGATTCCGTGACATTTCCTAAATGCCTGAATTGCTTGATACATGTGTTCCTTCCCGCCCCGGCTGGGCGTCATTTTGACGTGGATTCTGTGTGTTTAGTTGTGTGTGTTGTGTGATGATACGTTGACACCCTAACACTTGCGTGCAGTGATGTGATGATGATGTGCACTTATTCGCTGCATGTGCAGCATGCTGCTCATGTCAATTTGCCTGGATAAAAGCAAACGTGCCATGTGGAGGAGTCAACGTGAGCCCCATTCGCCTACTTTCGTGACTTACGGCGACTTTTGCGGGCGTTGCTCGATCAATTTGCGTGATATGCGCACTGCGGCTTGTTGTGTTTTTCGTGCCCTTCCTTGCTCATGTGCGCTTTTTAAGGAGGAGACATCATTAGGGAAGCGGCCTCGGTGAGGTGCCGTCCGTTCATAACGGCAATGCTAGTATAATTTAAAGAGCTGCTTCTCGAGTTTGGGGCTATGTTGGGCTTGGAGTGATTCCTTACGGTACGTTTCGGGGGCCCTTTGGTTGCCAGGGCGTTGCGTGGCAGGCGGTGTATGTTGACAAGGGGATCTGTGGGGGCGTCGGGGCCTGGCAGGCGTCGGAAAGACGGCTGGTGGGCTAACGTTGTGGAGCGTCGTATTTCTAGGGAATGAGCCATGATGAGAGCGGCAATCCTTGTCAACAGCTCCATGCACTTGGGCTGCCGGCTGTTGCAGGCTTGCGGCTGCTTCCACCTTCAGATGCTGTTGTAACGCTGTTGAGTTCTATTCTACTTTGTCTTGTAACTGCCAGAAAGCCATGTGCTAGACTGCTTTGTGTACAGCGGTACGCTGAATTGCGTCAGCCTAGCAGAAACGTACCCTCATTATTACAGGACCGCACGAGTATGGGCCTCTGCATTGGCAGCTTCTACGCGTTCCCCAGCTGCTGCTGAACCGTATGTGTTGCGGGTTATATATCAGCACCCCTTCACACCCTAGTATGACAAAGGCTACGCCACTGCAGCACAGCCGGGGGTATGGACGGATAACCTCATCAGAGCATGGATATGCAATCTCCCACTTGCCGCTCCTTCGTTGCCCAGAAGCCCCCGGACAATATCGTAGTCCCGCAACCTGTCACTCATGTCACGCGTATGCTTACGACCAGTATTACCGTACTACCATTCCAGTACTACTTCCGTACTAAACATGTAACATATCTTTCCCATCGACACCAATGTGGCCCCAGTAACCAGTGCCACCAGTGCAGCTCTGCTTGGTCGACAGCTATGAGCCTATGGCCAGTACCGTTACGCAGGCTACCGGATCATCCGAAAGCGTTTCCTCCTCTTACACTTCTTCTTACTTACTCCAAACGTTGGATCCACAACAGGCAACTTATCTTTTTTGGCAGTTCAAGTGGGCCCATTTCCTCCCCGCTAGCTCAAGAAGGGCTACAGACCGCAGCCAACGCTGCATGAGTCGCCGCATGAGGTTAGCGCACTTGTCCTTTGTGCGGCTGCCGAAATGTCACGGCCGCTGCCGCCGCTGTCAGGACGCTGCCAGGACGCGCTTTGCCACGTGGACAGCACATGCGCACGCAGACGCACAAGAACGGATGCCCCACTTTCTCGCATGCCCCGTTGACCTCGCATATCCCCTATCAACGCCGCTGCAGTGGCAGCGGTTCGCTCCCAACATACAACTGTGCACACTCAACATTGTCTCATTGCAGGCTATCGTTACCGTACAATTAATCCATCCATCCAGCCAGCCTTGTTGCCCCCGTGTTGCTTGGTTCCTCAATCAACATTACAGCCATCGTCATTAATCACGGCTTCCAATTGTTACCGTTACATCGTTACATCGTTCATTTCACTACGTTACATCAATGTCATGAAGATCCCAGCATGACACACGCTCTCATCACCATCCAACAGCAGTGCCGTTGAATCGGTACGTGAATCAGCAGCAGGGTGTGCCGCCGGAATGCCTGGAATAAATGAATGCCAGCCAGCTACTGCACCTACTGCGAACGCATCCCGGATGCTCCTGACGTCATCAGCAGCAGCCGCATGAGTGTCGTGCCTTGAAGCGCGTTCAGCACCGCCCCACGTGCTCCCTCAGGGCCGCCCGTCTGCTGTGCCATCTGGGCAGCCACATCGTCCGCTTCACGCAACAGCTGCGTCAAGCGTTGCTGCAAGGAACCGCCGGAAGGGCTCGAGTCAACCCCAGGCTGAGGTTGATGACCAGGGCGAGGCGGCAGCGGGGTGACGTCGCCGGGTGAAAACGTGTTGCTGGCTTCACGCTGGCTTGACGGGGCAGAGGAGCCAAAGGCAAGCCACCACCTGAGGGCCGAGAGCAGGTGCCCAGTCAGACTGAGTCGGAGGCGGCGTGCGGGGTACGACATCAGGATAACTTATCGCGGGCATTAACACATGGACGAGGGTGGCCTGCACCTACCCGGGGCCTCCCGACGCGCCTCCCGAATCTCCCGCTAGCCTTCGCGCCACGCCCGGTTGTAAATACCGCTGCGCCAGCAAACCGCACAGCTGCTCCGGGCTGCATCCGGCAGCTGGCCGCATGCGCACGCGCACCGCCGGCGGCGGCGGAGTGCGCGGCCGTGCCGTTGCCGCCGCCGCCGCGGAAGGGGCTTTCGGACTGGCGGGGGCTGTCGCCTCCGGGACCCGGCGGAGGTCTTGAAGGCCGTACGTGAGCTGTTGACGTTGTTCAGCGTCGAATCCCAGCAGCTCTAGAAGCCTGCAGGGTGTGGAGAAGGAAGCAGAAGACGTGGCGCACACAGGCATACAGAGTAGTTTCGAAAGGCGCATTGGCAGGGCGAGGAGCAAGGCACGTGAAACAGGATACACTTGCCACCACCGGCGGAATTGCCCTCATCAGTAAGGACAGTAACCGCTACAGCCGTTACTCACTGCGTCCTGCTCTCACGTCCTCACCTGTGGAACTCCCGTTTCAAGTACGGCAACTGCCGTACGGCCTCCGCCTCAACCTCCACTGCTGCTGCTGTCGTGGCCTCACCTCCTTGCGTCAGGAAGAACCCCTCACCATCCGCCGCATTACTGTTCCCCAGCTGCCGCGCAGCCGCCACCTCCCCTGGCTGCTGCTGCCGCTGCCTCTCCGCATGGCTGGACCCCGCAGCCCCGCCCTCCTCATCCTCTCCAGGCCCAAACGCCACGCCGTACCACCACAGCGTGCCAGCGGCTGCTGTGACCGCATCCGTCTCCGCCGCTGACGTCGTTGGCGCCGTCAGCGCTTGACCCTGCGCGCCGCGTTGCACCCTCACCGCCACCGCCGCTAGCGTTGGCGCAAACGCCTGGTTTACCAGCCGCGCGGGAACCCCGGCGTCGTCCAGTTGATCTGGGTCGGCGCCGTGACGCAGCAACACCTCCACCAAGCCGGCGTCTCCGCACACGCATGCCCAATGCAAGGCGCTGTAGCCGCCGCTGCGGTCGCCGCGGCTGGCGGAAGCAGCAGCATCGGATGCCCCAAGCGGCATGTCAGTCGCATCCACCGGCGCCCCGGCCTCCAGAAGAGCCTCAACGCTGCGGTACAAGTCCTCACGAGCGCCGCCGCCGCTGTCGCCTCCGTCATATTCCGCCGCCGCAGGATGCGACACCGCGCGCACGTGTGCCCAAGCGCGCAGGAGGTGCAACAGCTGCTGGCCTAGGCGCGAACGCAGCGAGGGCCCCGCTTCGTCCTGCAGAGCATGGAGGTCTGGGACGCCGAGGCCGCTGCTGCTGCTGCCGCCGCCACCACCACCACCAGCGCTGCCTGACGGTCCTGATGACGACGCGGCCTTCGCGTCGGACAGCGACATGGGCTCCAATCCTAAAGCGCCTGGGGCTGAAGCTGAGGCGGAGGCTGAGGTCACTCCAGGGACGTGCTGCTGCTGCTGCTGCTGTTGTTGTTGCTCCTCTGATGGCAGCGACCGCTGCGGCAGGACTTCCGATGGGGTTGTGACAGGCCGCGACGGAAACGCGGACTGCGGCTGCCGGGACCGTGCCTGCTGCTGCTGCTGATTCGCCGTCCGCTGCGACACGTTGCCCTGCTGTACCTCCTGCGCTTGCTGCGACTGCGACTGCGGCGGCGGCAGCGACGCGGTCGTCGGTGCGTTGTGGCGCTTCGCACACGGCTCCACAAGAGATCCGGGCGCCGGAGCAATGCCTGTGTCCGCCGCCGCAGCCGCCGCGGCAGCCGCCACGTCCTGCCGTGTGCGTCGACCCGTGTATGTACCGGCGTGTAGCTGCTGCTGCTGTTGTTGCTGCGTATCCACAACCCGCTTCCCCACCGTTCCACGGCTCCGAGACCCTACCACCGTCGCCGCTGCTATCGCTCCCGCTGTCGCATCCGCGGGCTCTCGGCCCGCCCGCCCTCGCCGCGACGGCGTCGTTGCCCCGGCCGCTGCGACCGATGTCAACACCGCTGCGGCTGTGGCAGTGGGCCCCTCCACCTCCGTCTCCGTCCCCGTACCCGTCCCCCCTGCTCCTGTTGCTGCTCCCAGACCTCCCGCAGCGGAAGAGCTGACGGCACTCGTTTCATCCGTCATCCTGCTGCCAGTAACGCCTTCGCCGCCACCTCCGCCGCCGCCAGTGTAACCGCCGCCGCCGCCGCCGCCACCAACGCTGCCGGCACCCGCACTCCTCTCGCCCTCCGTTGACTGCCCCGTGACCACAGGCGACAGCCCAAGCACCTGTCCCACCGGAGCCTTCCCACCCGCCTGCTCAACCGCCTGGCCCCCCGCATGCAGGAGCTCGGTCGCCATCAGCCCCTCAGCAGCTGACATGGTCCCCAGCAGCGCTCCCAGCAGCCCGCCAGTGCTGAGCTGCACGCCCGTGGACAACCCTCCTGCAAAGCCAAATCCGCTGCGGCCCGGCGGCAGCGGTTGCATGGGCTCCAGGCCCGTCAGCCCGGGTCCCGATCCGCCGCCTCGGCCGTTTTGTGGCTGTTGTTGTTGTTGCTGCTGCACTTGCAACTGTTGCTGTAGATGCAGCTGCTGCAGTTGGGTGCTGCCAGAGCCGTTTGCGGTGTACAACAGTGCGCTGTACAGACCATTGCTTTCGAACTGTTGCATGTTGCTGTGGTGGCGATCGAGTGGGATTCCTACGGAATGCCCTTGCTGCTGCTGCTGCGGTTGTTGTTGTTGCTGCTGCTGTTGTTGCTGCTGCTGTAAGGTTTGAAGGTGGGGATGCTGCAGCTGCTGCGGCACCTGGTGGTGTTGCTGCTGCTGCAGTTGCTGCTGCTGCCAGCCGCTAGCTGCCCCTCCGTTGGCAGGAACCGCCAGACGTCCCGCCAAAGCCGCGTGAAACAGCATGTGCTGCGGCTGCTGCTGCGATTCCTGCTGCTGCTGCCCCGTTAGCAGCATGAGCGGCAAAGGCGGCGGCAATGTCACGCCGTCCGTCACAGGCGCCTGACCACCGCCGGCTGTACCTGTGTTGCCGCCGCCGCCGCCGCCCGCTGCATCACCCCCGGCACCAGCTGCGGCCATATCCACAAGCGTATTCCAGTACAGGTCCGTGTGTGAGGGCAGCCCGTCGATGAGGTCCTGCATGGAGCTCAGGCCGCCCAAGCTCATGGCTGCGGGGCCGTCAAGAGGCGGCTGCTGCCGGCTTGTTTCCGCCTTGGGCAGCATGCCGTTATCGGATTGCTGCTGCTGGTGCTGCTGGTGCTGCTGGTGCTGCTGGTGTTGAGCTTGGTTCAGTTGCAATTGCTGAGAGGAGAGCTGCATAGGAACGTGGAAGGGTGAGCGTTTTTGCTGTTGCTGCTGGTACTGGTGTTGTTGCTGCTGCGGCGGCAGTGGCTGTTGTTGCTGCTGCCGAAGCTGGCTGTGTGGCGTGTGCTGCTGGACGTGCTGAAACGCTGGATGCATGTAACCTGGGTGCTGCTGGTGTTGTTGCTGCTGATGCGGTGACTGTTGCTGTTGCGGCGGCTGAGGATGGGGCTGCTGCTGCTGCTGCTGCTGCTGTAGCTGACCTTGCACCAGCTGCTGATTGTGGGGTTCAGCCGAGAGAGGCACCAAGGCCGAATGCTGCTGTGGGCTGAACTGCAGCTGTTGTAGGTGGGATTGCGGCTGGGGCCCTAGCTCCTGAGGGCCCAGAAGCCCTCCATACATGCCGTAACCACCTACACCGTTTTGCGTGATCGGAGCTCCGAGGCCGGGATGAGCCTGAAAGAACCCCAAGTCAGGCTGCTGTGGCTGCGGCGGCGGCAGCTGCTGCTGCTGTAGCGGTTGCTGCAAGAGCTGGGGAGGCTGCTGGGAAAGCTGAAGAGCTTGCAGGGTGCATGCCGACGTAATGTCTTGCATGGAAGAGCTCCTTGGCGTGCCTGGTCGCCCGCTGGAGGCCGAGAAGGGGCTGGGCCTCGTGCGTGTGGCCTGCACAGCAGCCAGCCCCGGGGCGTACCCAGCGGCAGCCGAACTGCCGGCCCCTCCAGCTCCAAGCGCTTGCTGCTGCTGTTGGTAGTGCTGCTGCTGTTGCTGTTGCTGCTGCTGTCGTTGATGCTGCTGCTGCTGCAAGAATGCCAGCTCCAAGGCTTGGCGTGAGGTCTGTCCCGCAGCTGCCGCAGGATTCGTTACTGAGGCGCCTTGCTGCTGGGGCTGGGGCTGATGCTGGCGGGCCATAACGACCCGGGCTTCTTCAACCGGCAGCAGCGGCGGCCCCATTGCGGCGGTTCCATGAGGACCCATGTGACCCTGGGGGCCGGGCGCTGCCACCGCTACCGCAGCAGCAGGCCCCAGCGCCCAGCCGCCTGGGAAGGCGAGCTGCAGCGGACCCAATGCGGCGGTTGCGCGCACCAGCGCCTCCAGATGGGGAAGGGAGCTCTGCCAGCCCAGCACGCAGCATGCAACGTAGCCGAGGTACCTATCGTTAGCGGGGGGCCATGCGACGATGCGAGGGGTCCAGGTCGCGATGGGTCGAGTGGTAGTTAGTCGCGTCAGCTGGGCATTGCATGGTTGACGAGACCGTACGGCTATGATGAAATGGTCTGGGAATGGGAGTTGTCCTACGTTTGGCTTTGGAGGAGGATATGCGGCACAATCATTTCGTCTAGGGCCAAGGCGTGTCGGCCGCCTGTACGACAAGTTAGCACGGGCACATGGATGCTCGCCTGTATTGCTCATGCACGATGCCTGGCGCGAGTGGCCCACGGGTCTCTCGCAGCACGTTTTGCACGAAGCTCTGCACCACATCTTGCTGCGCTGAGTAGGCAGGAGTGGAGGGCTGCGCGGACGTCCATTGCTGTGTCGCCTGGGGGCCGCACGGAACGGAGTAAGGGGTTGCAATCTAGGAACCAAAGCAGTAAGGGGGGTGCAGTCTGAGACCCCACCCAACATCCAGCGGTGCGAGCGGGCGCATGCGGGCGGGCGTGTCCAACCTTCATCTGCATTCAACCAAGCCTCTAGTTTTCTTTCACTCCTTTTCCCATGTCCTCTAGTTTTCTTTCAATCCTTTTCCACGTCCTTCCCTTCCTTCTCAGCCAAGCTCCCCTACCTGTTTAAACGCGCACATGACGTCCGACACCGCCAGGAACCCCAGCGCCGGCGGGTTCTTGACGGGCGGGATGGCGACGTTGAAGCCGTCACGCGCCTCAACCTTGAGGTGATTGAACTTGGGTCGGCCCTGCGTCACTCGCAGCGGCCAGCGCACCGCATAGTCCTCCTCCTGCTGCCGCTTGATGGCGCCGCGCTTCTCCACGGTACGGCAGGCGCAGTCCGGGTCCGGCCAAACCACCGCCGGCCAGCGGGACCAGTCAACCGAGGGAAATGCCTCCTGCAGGCGGGGCTGCATGGCCTGAGGGAGGGAAGACAGGGAGCGAGGAAGGACGGGAGTGATGGGAACAGACGGAAAGGGAAAATGGGGAGACGTGGGAACAGCTGTCGGCGGCGGATCCTGCGGGGTCTCCCACATGAGCTACAGGTACGGCAGCTGTCGAGCGCCACGTGCCATCTTCGTGCGTGAAAACCAATTCCAAGCCGTACAAGCCGTACCTGGATCCAGGACTGCAGCGAGGACACGATCTGTCCCTCCGCTTCAAAGCCCCGCTCGCCCACCAGCTTAGTAAGCCACTCCCGCGCTGCAGCGTAGGTTGCGGGGCTTAGCTCGACCCCAGGCGGTGGCGTTGTGGGCAGGTGCCTGGTTCCGTGCCAGAAGGCGTACGTGAAGGACTGCCAGGCCGCCCTGAGCTGCGGATCAATCGGCACGCTGGCGTAGGTGTGTGGGCTCTTGGGCTGCAGCAGCCGCTTGGACAGCACGATGGCCTGCTTGTGGTGCTCCCAACCCAGATCGGGCCAGAACCAATCCAGGAACTGAGGGACGGAGGGCATGGAGAGGGGGGAAATGAGGGCGGAGGAAGATTGAGGGACTGGGCAAGGAGTGCAGAGCTGTTCAATCCAGACGCGTGGTTTGGGGTAAAAGAGGAGTGACCGTATGGGCATGCATTACGGGCATGCCACGTGTGGCCGATTACAGATGAGGACTGTGGCTCATGTGATTCCAGTGCATGCAAGTCGTACTAGCGAAACATTTGCATCGACTTCCTACCTCCAGCAGCGCCGACATATACTCCGAAACCACAACTAGCAGCTGCCAGTCGATCGGGGCCCAAAAGTCCTCTGCACTATGGAAAGGGCCAATACGCAGTAGCTCCGCTGCAATCTGCAAAGGGTCACAACAAGAGCGGTCAAAAGCCGGTTTGCGGAGGAACACGTCAAGGAACACCATTTCGGGCAAAGAAGCCAATAAGTTAAATGGCAATATGGAACGAAATATGCTTGCTGAAGATACGAGTGCGACAAGGGTCGAACTGCGTCGGCGGCAGTTGGACGGGACTAACTGCCATTGCTATAAGCAGCTATGCTGAGCCCGGGGAATCAGGCCATCATGTAAGATCACCGTATTTATTATACAGTATGCAAAATTTGTTGCGCTACGCGACAAAGTGGCCAATAACAGATTGCATGAGCGGCGTGAGGTGCCGCGACGCTGTTCCATCGACTGTATAGCTGTTGGCGCTAAGTTAGAGAGAAGTAGCCTGACTGTCAACGCAACCAAGCCCGAGAAGGTTGGCTTGCATATATCGTGAGCATGCAGCTAGTGACCCACCCTGAATTCCAGGAGATGGTAGCCACGATGTATACTTCCTTCATTGTTCCTAGCTTCTTCGACATGAGCAGGGAATTTATCATGCGCGCCTTTCCAACGCGATGTTACCACCATCTCCGCACTGGGGCCAGTGGCCCCTTAGGTAGCAAAGGCTGATGTGAAGGCGTATAAATGAGTAAAATTTTGATAGTACGCAAAGCCTGTTACAATGATTAGCAGCGTGACTTGGGCTAAATTGGGAATTGGCCTCGTGGCCTCACCTATGAGTTCTTGTTGGGCACCACCATTTTGCGTACTTTGTTGGTTGGAGCTACTGTAATGTGGAGTATTGGTGTCACCAATAAGCCTGACCAGCAGCATACTGCGAACTAGTTACCTAAGCTTACGACGGCTGTTGAACTTCACTTGACCGACTGCCAGTTTGGAGGACAGCCGCTTTTGTGTATACAATAAGGTTCGACCCCTATTATGCCAGAAACGTAACAATCACCTTCAGAAAGAGGCTGTGCGACCCCAGGTAACATGTTAATGCTGGCGAAGAAAAGCACGACCAGCTGGATTTTGCACCGAGGAACTCCTTGCACCAAAGCACGCGACTGAAAAGGGTTCTCTAAGATCCTTTCCGGCCATCCTTTAGAGGAGCTCACGCGGCCCTTGTCGACACCCCACCCACCACAACCAGGAATCCTGCATACACCGTTAAGCATTTAACATAGCACCTGCACCGTTTCCCGGCGGCCCAAACGTCTCATGCAGCCCTTCAGACCCGTGCCTGCTACCACAGTTTGGCAACAGCAACGGTCAAAACACGCCATGCCCCTAGTCCGAATCTAGAGGCGGTGGCCTAGAAGCAACAAGGTACTAACACAAAACAGCAGGAAGATTTCCCACGAAAACGGCAAGTACGGTAACAATGCAGATGAATACCAGGCTACGGTACCGGTACTTCTTGACCAGAGCGGTAAGAGGTGTCCTGAACACACAATAACGTTACAGCACTGCACGATTGAGCATCACACAAAGGTGGTAAACTACAGCGTCCATGCACAAGAAAGCACAGTCGTCAGCTGTCAGTAACTCAGCATGCGGTTTGATCTTCCATACCGCTACTCCGAGACGTCAAGTAGTCCAACACAGTACAGCTTTAAGGCAAGCCCTTTAACACGTGCAACAGCCGCCGCATGCAAGGCCAAGTGCATCCATGCATTCCCCCGGCATTTCATTCCAGCATTGGCTGGCGACAGGATCAACAAAGGTAGATACAAGACAAGCAAGCATTGCGCCTTACTACCGCTCCGTGCTCTGCGAGCTGCCCTGCTGGGCCCACTTGTAGATGAGGCCTGCACCCTGCATGGCTTCAAGCACAACGCTTGGAGCCTTGTCAGGATCCTGCACCAAGAGCTGGCTAGCCAGTGCGTCAGCACGCTGCAGCAGGTCGCGCAACTGTTGCCGAAGCTCCGCCTGCGTCGGCTGGGACTGCTCCCCAACCGTGTTCGCTCCTGCAGAGGCCGCCTCTGTCGGCGCTACTGCTGCTGCTGCTCCGGGTGCATTCAAAGCCTCCTCAGCCAATGCGGGACAAGCACAGACCGAAGCTGGCCCCGCCAACGTGCCAGCGCTTGCTCCGGAGGAAGCATGTGTGGCGGCAGATGCCGAGGGCTGTTCCTGGTGACCCATGGGTCCAAGAGCCAGCCCAACGTCGTGATCCGTTAGGAAGGCCCCCAGCGACTCCACGCGCTCGGCGGCATCATTGGGCTTAACCACGTTCGAGAGATGACTCTTCTGCGGTAGCACAAGGAAAGAGAGAAGTAGGATACGTGGTCGGCATAACAGATCAGGGCAGATGCAGAACAACGCCCGCGCTCCACGCTCCCCTACACTCCTTCCTGTGTTGCCCGACACAGTGCAGGGTACACCGTGCACCGCATGGAGCCCATAACACTCGCTCCCACACCTCCACTGTGAGCCTCCTCACCTGGCGATGCGAGGTCTGCCGCTTGGGGCAGGGCTCCACCATGGAGCCTGGTGCCGCTTCAAGCCCAGCATCCGCAGCCGCCGCAGCGGCCGCCCGCGCCACATCCTGCCTCGTCCGCCGACCTGCCGTGGGCAGGCCGGGCTCCAAGAACCCTCCAGCCGGCCGTGTCGCAGCCTCCGCATCCGCGACCGCAGGCAACCGCCCTTCCACCACGCGCCTTACGGGGCCAGCCGCCGCTGCTCCTGGTGCTGCTGCTGCTGCCACACCGTCTAGGACTGCCGGGCTGCTAGGCATCGTGTCACCTGTGGCTAGTGGAGCCACCCCTGGTGACACGGTGCCAGGGGTGCCTCCACTAGCCACAGGTGACAGGGTGAAGACCTCCCCATGGCTCCGCCGCGTGAGTCGGGGCTCTAGGCTGGTCCCTTCCGTGGACAAGATGCCACTCAACAAGCCGTTCGTGCTGGGCAGGGAACACGTCGTGATGGTGCCCTGGAAAGGCGACCCGGAGCAAGGCGGAGGCTGCACCTGCACAGGCGCATCGGGCGCACTCCGAGGCAGCTGCGGTATCCCACCGCATGCACCCATGGGGTACTGCAACGTGCCGTACGGCAGGCCGCTGTCAAAGCTCTGCAGGCCCTGCAAGCCCTGCAGGTCCCGTCCTGCGGCGGACGGCTCCTGCATGTTGGAAGCCTGCGGGTCCTGGGCAGGCCCCGCCGGCGGCTGCAGCGATGGCGCTGCGTTATGTGACAACGCTTGCCGGGAGCACGATGCATCTCCGATGGCAGAGCTCACCACTAACGAGGGACCGTGTTGGTGCGGCGGTGGCGGTGGCTGCGGCGCTCGTGCCGGTGTCCCTCCAGTCGCCCGAGGGTCTTCCTCGGCTGTACTCTTCAGAAGAGCGCTCCAAAACAGGTCCGTGTGTGAGGGCAGCCCGTCGATAAGGTCCTGCATGGAGCTCAGGCCGCCCAAGCTCATGGCTGCGGGGCCGTCGAGAGGCGGCTGCTGCGCTCCAAGGGCGCCCTGCTGCTGCTCTTGCTGCCGCTGTTGGTGGTGCTGCTGGTTTGGTAGCAAAGGTGCCGCCGCTGCGGCGACCTGAGGTTTCGAACCGGCGGCCACGGAAGCGCTTGGCTTTGCAAGGAAGGGGCTGGGCCGCGTGCGCGTTGCTTGCGAAACATGTGGAGGGCGCATCTCCGGCGGAACGGCATCTGGCGCCGATGGCCCGCAATCGTGCAACATTGCTGGCCCTAAGCTGGAACCAGGGGCCGCCATGGCGCCGTGCGTCACATGGGATGCATTCATTTCAGCGGGGACGCTAGCGGTCATGCCACCATGGATATGGAGAGGCGGTGGCATGGGTAACTGACTAAGCGCGTGTGTCGCCAAAGGGCCCTGCCCGTTCACACTGATCCGCGGCTGCCGTAGTGGTTGTTGAAGCTGCGGCGGCGCCGGTGGCTGCTTAGGATGCGGCAACGGCGGTGGCTGCTGCAGTGGTGTAGCCAGCTGATGTAGATGCTGTAGCTGCTGCTGTATTAGGAGCTGCTGCTGAAGGTTTTGCTCCGCTAGAACCGCATCCATATGCACACCCAGAGCTCCCAACGCGCCGTGTCCCAAGACACCCAGGCCTAGGTCCAGAGCAAAGGTGCCAGGCCCCACCTCCGGCGGCTGCTGCCGCAGCAACGCAGCGGCACCTCCGGGAAGCGCCAGCGGCTGCGGGCCCCAGGCCGCTGACTCGAGCAGCAGGCCCGCCATGTTTAGCATCGCGCCCTGCCAGCCCAGCATGGAGCAAGCCACGTAGCCGAGGTACCTGCAGCGGGTCGTGTAGCGGCACGGGGCGGCAGCCAGGGTTGCCATGGCACCAATGACAACAACGAATGGCAGTAGGGAATCCCTAGTGACACTGCTGGATACTAGCGCATACGGAAAGTGAACGTCGTGTGGGCAAATGTAAAGCCCCTTAGGCATGGGGCACGCCCCATGCAAGGCCATAAGGAAGACAGCAGCAAAGCCAGCCACATGGGAGCATCCTCGTCCATAGTGCTACGGTATGTGCTTTAGTTGCTTGTGCGAGCTGCTACGGCCTGCAAAAGGGGTGCAACAATAGTCCATACTCACTTGAACTGCTCGTGCGCTATGCCCGGCGCCAGAGGCCCGCGGTCTTCCCGCAGCACGTTTTGCACGAAGCTCTGCACCACCTCCTGCTGTGCCGCGTAGGATGCGCTGGACGGCTGCGTAGGGCCCCACTTCTGGGTCGCCTGCGACGGCAGCAACGCAGGAGGTGAGAAACAGGCAAGGCTGCTGTCAACAGATGCCATACAAGGGCTGTAGTTCCTGCAGCTCTATTCGGCTCGTTGACGTGCCCCGTGCCGTCCCGAACCCCACTGTGTAACTAACTAGGTAACCTACCTGTTTAAACGCGCACATGACGTCCGACACCGCCAGGAACCCCAGCGCCGGCGGGTTCTTGACGGGCGGGATGGCGACGTTGAAGCCGTCACGCGCCTCAACCTTGAGGTGATTGAACTTGGGTCGGCCCTGCGTCACTCGCAGCGGCCAGCGCACCGCATAGTCCTCCTCCTGCTGCCGCTTGATGGCGCCGCGCTTCTCCACGGTACGGCAGGCGCAGTCCGGGTCCGGCCAAACCACCGCCGGCCAGCGGGACCAGTCAACCGAGGGAAACGCCTCTTGCAGGCGGGGCTGCATGGCCTGAGGGAGGGAAGCAAGAAGGTGAAGGCGCCGCAGTTATTTGCATATTACGCACGGCAACGGCAATGTCTGACACAGTACTGCAGCGGTATGTGATTTGGGACATAGGCTTCCTCAATCCGAAGACAACAAGAACCACTCCATTCACAGGCGTTCTTCTGTGGGCTCACTTGGATGCTAACCTCGCGCACGCTGTGAAGCAAACCGACCTCTCCCAGCAGCAAGCCCATGCAACTTTGGCTGTGTGTACCGCCTTGTCAAGGTCAAACGCACCTGAATCCAGTTTTGCAAGGCCGTCATGATGTGCCCATCCGGCTCGAACCCCCGCTCGCCCACCAGCTTAGTAAGCCACTCCCGTGCAGCCGTGTACTCCGCTGTCGGCTCACCGGGCGGTGGCGTTGTGGGCAGGTGCCTGGTTCCGTGCCAGAAGGCGTATGTGAAGGACTGCCAGGCCGCCCTGAGCTGCGGATCAATCGGCACGCTGGCGTAGGTGTGTGGGCTCTTGGGCTGCAGCAGCCGCTTGGACAGCACGATGGCCTGCTTGTGGTGCTCCCAACCCAGATCGGGCCAGAACCAATCCAGGAACTGGGGAATGGGAGGCGTACAGAGGGGGCATGGGATTAGGTCTTTGGGTCCATGAGTTCATTACTGGAAGGAGCCGTTGCTGCCCAGGGGCGTCCAAGGCTCTTGCTATAGGGCGCTCCCTATACAGTACGTATACAGTCGCCCCTACCCAGCTGACGTACCTCCAGCAGCGCCGACATGTACTCCGAAACTACCAGCAGCAGCTGCCAGTCGTTTGGAGCCCAGAAGTCTTCCGCACTGTGGACGGGGCCAACACGCAGCAACTCCGCTGCGACCTGTGCCCCAAATTGGCATGCACATGATCAGCGATCGTGGTATCGGATCGCGCCTAGGTGTCAGCCAGGAATGACATGCCGTGCTGGGCCGTGGATTGCAGTTTGCCCCCAAAAAGTGCAAGCGCGTGCGCCGAAGATAAACCCATGGGATGCAGAACCTAATTCTGGTAAGGACGAGCAGATTCGTTATAATTAAGTCTAGCAATCCTAGGGGTGCACGAATAAGACGAAAGCCAGCAACCATTGTGTTACCAGGATGCATTATCATCGCAGCTATAGAATAATATGTGCGAACTGGTAGAAGATAGCCACAGCTTAGCTTGTCGCTCGTGCTTGCAGACCCACCCGAAATTCTAGCAGATGGTACCCGCGATGTACAATTCCATCGCTGTTGCGAGCTTCCTCAACGTGTGCTGGAAACCTCTCATGCGCGCCCTTCCAGCGCGATTTGTTGACCATCGTCAGCTGTCGGCTAGCAGCCCCAGGCTGCTGCACAGCAGTGAGCGTATAACAAGCTCGATGGCAAAGCAGATACCAACAAAAGTAAGTATACTTTCTTCATCCTAAGCAGGGCATTTGGACGGCCGGAGCGTACGACAGTTCCTTGTACCTTCCCTGCGGCCACAGGCCAGCGCTTACACTAGTCTAGACCTTGCGGTATGTAGTATTGAGATGTGCCCTTACTTACAAATTTCAGTAGCACCTTGCGTGGCCTTCACCAACTGCCGAACCGCTCGGGACTCAACGATGCCTACCCCTCTGAGGGTAGTTGCTGTTGCGCCCATAGGCTCGTCCTCGTACTCTTCATCTATAACATATAAGTGGAGGTTCAAGAGCACTTGCTTTGCCTAGAAGGACGCAACCTAGCTGATTGACCTATATGCAGGATGTGAAGGAGCAGACACAAACACACAATCCAGAGCTCAAAACAACCCTTGACTAACACCTAAGGCAAGGCAAAATAGCCAAAATAGCCTTGAATTGTTACTGTCCGTGCCGCGCACGCAAAGGAGCGCTTGTGGGCCGCACAGGCACGCACTGGATAGGGCACTGTAGCTAGGGTCCCACGCCCGGTTGTCCGAAATTTACAAGCCAGCTCTTGTCAAGCTTCAACATATAATATCGGAGTACAGACAAAGGCATAGTCATTACATGCACTTCACTAACGTCAATAGCGTAAATGTAATTGCTGAACAACTGTGTTTTGCCCACACTTCCACCACCTCATTGCGCCCCAGTCACCCAGCCCAACAATGAGGGCTCACGCCACGGCGGCCCCGGGTCTCACAAGCATCAAGCAGCAACAACAAGTTAACGAGTAACGACCAACGGTATCGCACACAACCAGCAAGCATTGCCACAAAATTACCACCGCCACAGCCAGTAGTGCATGTTCCCTGATCTTTGGTTTGGGATCACCGCCACAATAAATTGGTTACCCACCATATGGTACATTTGATGCGCATACAGTTTGCGTACGGGTGTGTGGGAATGAGTTCAGCAGATAGCATATGCCCTTTTAACATCGCCCATGGCCAGCGATCAAATGTGTCTTCATGTCATCATAAGATGCCCCTCTTTTCTCGGAAACAGCGGCTCTTTAGAGCGCATCGCAGACTAAACAGTCGTGGTTCAAAAGTAGAGCGCGAGACGACGTGCATCCCCTTCACGCACGTCCACAAGACCATCCATACCATTCACATTGAAATGTCCGGCATTCTCTGAAAATGCCAAACCAATTCTTGCACTCGACACAACACAACTCCACACCCACAGCCCTGCACCAAGCAATAATCCCTTGCACGATTAGCCGCAGGCCCTTCGAGCACAGGGGACCCCGTCGCGGCCATTCACCACCCAGGCATTCGCCAAAGAATTCATTGTCAGCAACAGCCAGCTATTGCCTCCTTTTCCAGGTCTGCCTCCCTCAGAACCTGCGAAACTCCGCAAGCAAGGGCTGTGCCATGCCGTCAGAACCATCAACCTTATGCCGACACCTGCACGACACATGCTCCTTCGCCAACGGTAGCGTACATGCAGGCCTACAACCATGTTGTCCGTGCCGGCCGCAGCCATTCAATCAACTCCTTCCCAGCCACGTCATTATTTTTACGAAGACACTGTCGGGTCACCCTCAAACATAGACCACAATCACTGCCATAGCAGCGTGGCTGCGAGCAGACGAGGGTCCAATTCTCCAGCCCGAATGGAATCGCATGTGCATGGAGCAACTGCCATGCCAAGCAGCGCAGGTATCAATGCGGCGCACTTGCCCTGTATGTGATGCATGCTCCAAATAGATGCCCTACTTGAACTAAAGCCCGAACCATCCCACACCATTATCTTCACCGTCACCTACACCAACAGACATGATCAGTCTTTGGGACTTCACGGCAGATAACCTAAGCGTGATTGGCCTTAGCCAGCAAAAACCCGAGTATGAGGAAAGCGACGGGGGGGCCCGGCGGTTTACATCCTGATGAACACGCCATGACGACAAGCTCACCCCCTCATCTGCCTCCTGTACCGCGCATTGCAGCAAACTAGAATAGGGAGACGACCCTGGTAATCCAATGCAATGCAGCAATCGATTCATTCATGTTACAGTGCCGTCAGCGTCGCGCAACAGCAAAGCACAGTTCAACTCAACCAAAAATGCGCCGCCGGCTCCACTCTCCATGGAAGTTGGCGGTGTGGACACTCCGGAAGTGACGAAAACTATTCGAAGTGAGGAAGACTATTCATGGCAGCTTCAGCATTCTCAGTTCCATCTACCATACCATCAGCTTGAATTATTTCAGGGCCATTTCGCCGTGCCGTCGGCTGCTGCTGTGGCGGTGTCGGGACCCTCCGCTGCAGCCCCTGCTCATGCCGCAGCCCCCCCTCACCACGTCGTGCCGCAGCCCTCCCCCCTGACGCCAGTGGCCCTACCCTCAGCGACCAAGTCAGCTCCCAGGAGACCGCTCCTTACCCCCCCAACAGCACCGATGGCCGCTTCGGGACCACTGTTCGTGACCTCCTCAGCTGCAGCAATGTCGGTGTCGCTTTCCAGGTCCTCGTCAGCTGCTACGCCGGCTCCAGGGCTGCCATTGACTTCATAACCATCGCAGCCGGGAACGGACGCCTTGCCGCTGTTCGTGCCCCTAGCAGCCGGGCGCACCCGGGTATCGAAGCCCCGCTTGTAGTAGTTCTGCCGAATAGGCTTGATGGACTCCCAGAGCTCCGAATTGGGGTCCCGTATGATCTCCTCAAGGTTCCTGGCGACTCTGTCCAGCTGAGCCTGTGGCACGACCCGCAGGAGGGAGTCAGAAGACCCACAGCCAGTCTTAATCGTCAACGCATGAACTAGCTCGCTAGCTACCAATGCAAGCATGTGGACAAAGAGAGTGAAAGGGAACAGTTGCGCTGCAGGAAAAGCCCGCCACAAAACCCAGGAGGCATGACGACGGGATGGATACGGCCATGCACTGACCGAATGAATGAATGACTGTTGCGGCCCATGCAGGACCATCGTACACACAGCAGCCGCACCTACCAGTATCCACCACCGCAACCCTCTGCTGCTTGCTCCTCTCTCACGGTCCCGCTTACACCGCTTCCCACGCCCACAACCCCGAGCTGCACATGCTCATGAACCCATGCACGGCCTACCTTCCGCTCCTCCTCATCCTCGATGTCCGCGTCCTCCTCGATCCAGCGTTTCAGGTTTATCAAGCTCTCCAGCTTTCGCTGCGGCCAGCGCTGCACCCCAAGCTGCCGGCACCTGCGCTTCAGGTTTGTCGTGCTGGTGTTCAGCACCTGCGCAGCCTCAACCATCGGCAGCTCAAAGGTCTTGCGGATGTCAGCCATGCTCAGACACTCGCTGCGCACATAGGACTTGTCACCGCCCTCGCCGTCAGCTCCTGCGTCGCTTGCCGCACCCCTCCTGCGCCTCTTCATCTTCCGCTTGATCGGTTTGGTCTCGGCGTAGCGGGCCTTCTTGGGCCTGGTGCTGTCTGCGGCGTCGGCCCCCGCGATTGTGTAGTCACTGTCGTCTGCCGCCTGCTCGGGACCCTCACTGACATTGCTATCCGTGTCTGGTGCTGCAGCAGGACCCGCAGCAGCAGCACCGGCAGCAGCAGCGCCGCCGCCGGTAGCAGCCTTGGCGGTGCGGGCATGTGGCTTCAGGTGGTGCTGACCGCTCCCTCCTGGGTGCTCCAGGTCGGCAGTGTGAGCGGCCCCACCAAACATGAAGAGATGGGCCTGCGGTCGCGGCAGGACCATGCAGCAGGAACAACCAGCGCCGTTAGTGTGCCTCATGCAAGAGGACTATGCGAGGCTTGTAGGGCAAAGGCAAGGGAATCCGAGCTGCATCGACTCCAGGCTGTGCGGTCGAGATGAGCAACCAGGCGTGGGGTTGCCATGCGCGCATGGTGCGTTCCACACCGTTGGTTTCCCTGTACGGCATCCTCACTTCTCCACTTCAGTAAGGTACCATGGAAAAGAGTGTTACGTTGCTGATCCAGCAGTTGACTATTTGCGTTGGATATGAAGATATATCACAACCAGGATATAAAAGGACATATCACAACCAGGGTAACACTGTGCATGCCCCACGCGGGCACCACCCACCTCCAGATCAGCAGTTGTAGGCTCCCCAGGCGCCATGCCGAAGTCTGGCAGTCCCTGCACCATGTTAACGGGGCCGGGCTGCTGCTGTTTCATGAGGTATTCCTGCAGCAACTCGGGAGGAATCTGCTGCAGCAGCTCTGGAGGAATCTGCTGCAGCAGGGCCTCATATTGATGTTGTTGTGGCTGCTGCTGTTGGTGCTGCCGCCGTTGAGGGAGCAGTGCGTTTCGCTGCTGCTGCTGCTGCAGTTGCTGCTTCGTCACATGTTCCAGCAGTGCCAGCGGAGAGCGGCGCTGCTGCTGCTGCTCTTGCTGCTGCCGCTGCTGCAACAACGGCGGCGGATCGGCAGCAGCAGACAACATGGGTACCTGCTGCTGCTGCTTCTGCAGTAGCATCCGAAGCAGAGCACCAGGTAGCATCGGCATGTCATCTTCTCCCTGATGCTGCCCCTGCGGGGTGCCGGCCCCTAGCAACGCCTCCTGCTTCTTCAGCCGCATGGCCCCCATGTCGCGTGAAGCCCCTGCGTCCGCCTCCGCCTTGCCTCCTCCGCCAAGCACACCATCGGCACCGGCAGCCTGCCGCGTCGCCGCGTCAGGCACTTCAGACGCCTGCGCTCGCATCTTTTGCAACAGCTCCCGGAACAGGACCATAGCGTTGCCTTCCTCCCGGGGTCGCTTCCCCAGTGCACCTGCGAGGGTGTGGGCCGGCTGCACCGCCGAGGCGGGCGGTCCCAGGGCGCATGCAGAAGGGGCTAGGAGGCTGCTTGGAGCGGGATCTGAACCCGGCGGCCGGGAGCCCCGAAGAAGCTGCGGGTGAGACTCTTGCATGGCTGCTTCAGGAGGGGTAGGAGCAGCGCTGCGCGCACCGCCCAAGGCCTCCTGCGGAGGCCTGCCAGCAGGGTACGGTGCACGCGTGCCGCCATGACGAACGGACTCACGCCGCTGCTCGAGCAGCCAGTCTGGCTGCTGCTGCAGCTGCGGCTGGTGTGGCTGCTGCTCGTGTTGCTGCACGCGGCTTGCTGGGTGCTCAGGAGGAAACGCCCTGCTGCTGCCCCCGCGCGCGGCCAAGATGAGCGCTTCCAGCTCCTCGCGACCCACCAGCACAACGTTAGAGCTGTCCCGACGGCGTGTCGACTGCTGCATGGCTACTCTAGCATGCGGCGGCGGCGGCCGCCGACCCCTGGGAGGTAGACCGTACGAGTCCGCGGGGGCAGCACCGACAACAGCAGAAGGCGCAGGGGGGGCCCCGCCCCTAAAGGCGCGCATGATGGCCTCGAAAGCAGGAGGGACAGCCGCGGCGGCAGGGTGAGACGCTTGCGGAGGCAGCGGTATCTCGGCCATGCCCGCAGCAGTCTCCGGCTGCCCGCCCATCGGGCTGCCGGTCGGGCCATCAGGCAAGTCCGCCACTGAGGGCTCCTTCGGCGGACCGAGCATAGTTCTCAGTTGCTGCAGCAGCTGTGCCCTGTCAAGTGGAGGCCGATCCGTAGGCGGCTGTGCTCCTGCGAGCTCCTGCGATTGCTGCCGTTGGTGGTGCAGATGCCGCAGCAGGTCAGCCAACGCCCTGTCAGGCAAGCCCTGGCCGTCTTGGGCAGCCGGCATGGTCGTCTGGGGTGCAGCTGCTGCGCGCATGCCCGACACCGCAGCTCCTCTGCTGGCGCTGCGGGCAGCAGGAGGCGGCTGCGGCCGGCCGGGTAGCTGAGGCTGGGTTAGTAGTGGGGCAGCTGCAACGGCGGCTGCAGCAGTGCTGGGCACGTGTGCATCCGCGTGGGGCCTTGGGCGCTGTGATGGCCGTTGTTGGGCCCACGCTAGGCTGTCATGGGGCGGCGCCGGTGCGGCAGGGGCAGGGTGACGGTCAGGCGCACCGTTCTCATCCTCAGCCTGGGCTTGCTCGAAGGCTTTGCGCTGCGGATAAGATCAGGCAGCAGGGTGAGGTCGGGGGTGGGGCTCACGAGGCGACAGGGGCGGGGACGCATCAAGTATGGTACGGGACCACCCACGGACGTAGGATGCGAGCAAGGATCGAGACAAAGCATGCTTCGTATCGTACTATATAATGCACACAATCCCCTGCTCAACGCATGTAAACACGTGTCACATGGCTGGAAGGACCAAGCACCACGCGGCACGCATGCAAGCATGCGTCGGCAAAGCCCCATCGAACACACCCATCCCATGCCACCCTCCTCACCTTGCTGCTCGCAGCGGTTCCCTGGAGGCGCTCCATGAGCGCCCCAAAGCCCGCCTCGCCCAACCGCAACACCTGCTGCAATATGTTGTCAATGTCCGCACGCTCTCCCTGCTCTCCTCCTTCGCCCTCCGCAGCAGCAGGCAGCCCTGTGCGCTGCTGGCCCTCCGCCGTGTTATTGCCGCTGCCGCCTCCACCATCTTCCACCGTCGCGGCCCCAGCGTGGGACCCAGCGGCCAAGAGTTCCTGGATATCACGGAAAGGCACAGGTGCATGAGCCGCGTTGCCACGCTGGCTGCCACCTCCTACGCTGATGCCGCTGCCCTGCCGCACAACGCCGCGCCCGCTGCTCATGCCAAGCGGCAACGCTTGAGGTTCCAGGCCTGATTCAGATCCTGAGTTTTCGAATGAGCCGCGGCTGCGGCCGTCGGGCGGAGGCGCTGGCAGAGAGGGCTGCCCATCTCGGGACTGCCGCAGCAATTTGCCGATGTCGCCGCTGGCTTGTAAGCCAGAGACCGCAGTCTGAGGGCTCGAACGCCGCTGCGGCTGCTGCTGCGGCAGCGGTTTCTGCGGTTCCTGCTGCTGCTGGTGTTGCAGTTTTTGTGGCAGCGGCGTTGCGGACGCATGCAGCGGAAACGGCTGCGTAGGTGTGGAGGATGCTGCTACTGCAGTAGGAGGCATGCGTGCAGTAGGCATCCCAGCAGTCTGCCGCCTGAACAGCATCTCTGTCAACTCCTTCGCGCTCATGCCGCATCCCGGAATGCCGTTGCTGGCAGCAAACATGGCCTGCGCAACTGCTGCCTGGCCTGCGTCTGTCGGGTAGTTCCCACGCGACTGCCGTACCGCTGGTGCCGTATCGCTACCGCGTGCCGCCAGCAAGGCGCCATAAGCCTGCGCCCTGGGGCCGTCAACGTCAGGACCGCCGCCGCCGAACAGCGCATGGGCATCCATGCCGGCGTCACCTGCCGATGTGCGTTTCAGATGTGAGTCGGCCACATTTACCGGGGCCGCGGCTGGGAACCTGTGCCGCTGCTGCTGCGGATGCCGAGCGCTTATGAAACCGCCACCGCTGCCGCCGGCCATGGTGCCGTACATGCCACCGGCGCCGTACATGTTCGCGGTAGGCTGCTCCATGGGCCGCCCCTGACTCGCTGCTGTGGCTGTGGCTGCTGGGAGCAGGTCCATCGTTGCTCGTGCGTCTGGGCCAGGTATAAGCCCGCGACGTAGCATGTCCATGATTGCGGCCGGTACTGGGGCGCGGCCCCGGGGTTCTCCAGCACCGGCATTCCTAGCGGGACCCGCACCCCAAGGTCCTGCAGCTTTGCCGTTGCCAGCAGCAGCGGCAGCCAAAGCAGTGGCAGCAGCAGCGGTCTTGTCAGGGTATGGGAAGCTCGGCGCCACGTCACCAGGGTCTGCTTGGGCTTCCGGACGCGCTGGACCAGCCTTCCCCACGAGCTCTGAACCTGACGCTACCAGCGCGCATGCTAGACCTGCTGCTAGTTCCTGGTCCGGCATTTCTTTCAGCAGCTGCAGTTGCTGCTCGGGAGGCAAGTCTCGGAGCACGAGTGCCAACTGAAGCACTTGCTTGTCCCCCAAACCGTCCAGAGCAGATCCTTCGACACGGCCTGCAGGAACACTTCCTACCGGCATGCCGGGCGCTGCACCACGAAAGCGCTGTTGCTGAAACAGCTGCTGCTGGTGCTGCTGCGGTGCGCTACCGCGTTCTGTCTCACTCGAGAAGCCGCCGGTGGGGTGGCCTGGGTGGCCACCCTCAGCGTGGAGCATGGGGGATGAGGGCGGTTGGGTCTCCAGGACGCAGGAGGGCGCCTTTCCACCGTACATGCGCAGCCCAGAAGGCCGCACGTATTGGTAAGCTGGCTGCAGGTGGTGGTTTAGCTTGATGCTGCATTGATCCTCGGGACTCTGAACGGAGCCACTCCTATCGATGCCGTATGCGTATAGCTTGTTAGGGTCGTTGCTGCGGGTTGGGGCATCATGGCGACCGCCGTCTTAGGGAGGATACAGACTCAGTATTAGCTAACGTGAGCACAACATCAACGGGCTCTAAATATACCTCCCGCAGAGCCATGGGTTAGGGCCAGAGACAGCCACATTGTTTCAGCCAAAGTGTGGCACTTAGGCATTATACACACTGCCACAACCCCGGTGGTATTTTGCAAGTTGAAGCAAAGCAAAGGGTACCGAGAGCCTCGGAACACCTCACCTATAAAGCCGGCGACCAGGATAAGGGAGTAAATCGCGGCCATTTGAGTCCGATGCCATGTTGCACATTCCTAGGTGCAAATCAAGTGGCTCTGACGTTGCTGGTCAAGTAACGCTATACTGAGCGATATGAGTGGATTAGTTAGTGAAGGGGGAATCAGCGGCCTCGCAACATTATGAAAACTCGTCGCCGTCTTGCTTAGGGCCGGACGCAGACGTGTGAAACCAACCAAGTATCGTAACAAGCCGGCTAGTACTGATTCTGATCGTCCGTAAGCATGAAGCCACGGGCGAGCCCACAATTGCCGCAGCTGCGCGCACACGCACGGGACTACGAGCGAAACGCCACTTCCATAGTAGAGGGCCTTGTTGCCAAGAGCAAGACGTCGTCTCCTGCGTTATGCCATGCCGGCTTCTGGTGAGTTCACTGGTGGGAGGACGCGGCGAATCGGGGTCTCCAGTTCAGTTCAACAGTCCGTGCGCTTGACATACAGACAACATCCCGGACCGAACGTTACGATCACAAACTCTCTCACGGATACACTTGGCCGCAGGTCTCGCAAGCACGGTTCACTTTATTGAAGAGAACGTTCGCTCGGGTGCTGCACACTTTAAGCCTGAGTGACTGTCCTTTTCCTAATCTATAAATATAACTCGATCAATATGTTCGATGTGCGCCGACAGGCAATGTGTTTACGTGTACGCGAAAGTACGTAAAGGTGGGCGCATCGCATCCTATCAGTAGACTCAGGGTTCCACAACGCCGAATTTCCTTGGCATGCGTTTCCCTTTTAGATGAACCAAATATCGTCTACCCCGCACGACCGCGCTCACTACCAGTACAAGCTCGTGCTGCTGATTACTGTAATTTGGTCTGCAGTGCATCTCTAGTATGGGATTGCTCGCAAGGTCTTACAAGATGAAGCGGTGCAGTGCTCCAGGCAGCCCTAACTCGTGGCCGACCGGTTTCTGCCTGAACTGGTTCCACACACCAGGCACGAATGCAGCTTGGTGTGTGCCCCGCACCACACTGTGTGTTTAATTAGGGCTGTTACCCCTTGGCTGCAGCTTTAGTCTAGCCTAATCCTCAAAGGGCCACAGTGCTGCAGGAAGGGCAGGAATCAAGGAAATCATGTTCAAACATCCGCTCCCTTCCAACGCGTTCTGAGTTACTACCGACACCGCTTCCCGCCCTAAATCCCCCCCAGGGGGCTGGCCAAATGCGCCCGGCCGTAAGCTGGTTGGGTTTGCCGGGCCCTCAATACCTTGGGCATTGCGAAGCACAGGGATTTCACGGGGGCGTTGTTGGCGAGCACTTGAACAGACTGGCGGCGATGAGACCTCCTGCACGCCAACCGGTGACAAAAACTTGCTACCAGTACAGCTCAACAACGGACATACCCATCATCATGAAGCGCACCAATGCGATAGCATGTAGCCAGACCAGCTGACTGATTGACAAGCTAGAAGGTGTACCTGGCTGAAAGGTAATAAGGGTCTTCAGTGATTTGGGCGCACTCTGCCAAGCCTGCTCCGCCGAAAAGAGTATCGTAATAACCTTGCATTCTATTCGGGAGGATAGCTACTCGTAGACAAGGATGGAAGCCTCGCACTGTGCGAGGTGGGCGCCTTGACTTGTTACTTGCAAAGTTACGAATTCAACCAATAAGCCCACAACCTGTTAGCAGGTTGTGCTGAAGCCCTTAGGTTTTGCGGCAAAATTCGCGGCTTCCTAAGTTGGCCTTGAAGACTTGGATTCATGACAAGTTTGCCCCGTGCGTCAAACCTAAGCGACTGTAACCATTTGCAATACTACTGAACTTAATGTATAGCAATGTGCAGCTGACAAGGCGGGCAGCGTTACTTTCGTTTCGATGACATTTTCCCAGACATTTGCACATTTCCCAGACACGCACGAGACACTAACGGATTAACGACTTTCACCCGTTTTCTCCTGCAGGCACGCTACTTGTCAAGCGTTATATCAAATATTAGGGACAACGAACGTTTGCGGAAAAGCGGCCATACGACGTAAAAAAACGCCCCTTACTTTTGGCCGTTTGGGGTTACGACGACGGACGCTGTCGACAGAGATCTCGTGGGAGAGGTACCTTTGGCCAATAAACCAAATGACGAGCTTTTGGAAGTATCAGAGTACTATCCCTTTGCACACAGTTTGCACTCGCTCTACTGTACATACCAACGCCAGGAACAGAACTCTACGCCACACGTTTCAGTCCATTCAACATCCAAATGGTTTCTATATAACCTAGTGGCAGGGCTGCATCCGATTCTAGCATAAACACGAACCGTGCGACTACCAGCCAGCGTTAGCCGGACGCGGCCTTTTGGCTGCACGACAGCGTGTAGAGGAATGAAGGGCGCACAGGAAAAATGGATGATGAAGTCCTTGCTCTCACTAGCGTGAGTTAAAGTAAAGTGACTCGCCTGACTACGATAGACTGTAATAAACTCAGGTGGCAACTTTAACAATGCCCCCATTACAGGCAATTTGCCAATAAAAGCTGTTCTATAAGCGGCACCAGCTGCTACAGCCACAGCAGCAGCCGTCTATGAGCCTCTTGGGCACAAATGTCCACACCAGGCTTGGTTCGTGAGGCCACAGCACCAAAATCCTGTTACGTCGTCGGGGTTGGAAAGCAACAAGCAGCACGCTTTATAGCATATCAAGGAATCTTGGCCAACGCTATAGAAGTAAAATATATCGCCCTGACGAAAGACTACAAATTGCCGCATGCTGCAGGTTGCATCTTGAAGTTAGTCCTACACGTGAGGACTGCGTGTCTTCTAACAACTTCTATGTGCCTGACAATGAAAGCATGCGCTCCACACCCTGGGCGTCGCGGCGCGACATCACAAGTTATCCCACCCTGCTACTTGCGCGACTTGCCCTAACCAACCCAGCCTCCTCATGAAAGCGCAAGCGCACCCGTAACGTGCTTGTTCTTCCTTTGCCTCATCCACCTCGGGTGCCTGGGTTTCCCCTGCTTTACGCACCCACCTGCAGCGGGTCACGGGCTCAAAACCCGCACGCAGCAGCTCCTCCAGCTGCTCCTGGCGCCGCAGCGAGTGCACCTGCGGGCGCCCCAACGGGCAGCCGGCAGACAAGGAGGCGGGAGCAGCAAACGGGAAAACAGGTGCCCCGCGTGTCGTTGTGAGAGGCTGAGAACAGAAGTGCGGGCGGCTCCCTCCCAAGTACTTGTTTGGCAAGACACGCAGAAGGTCAGGGGTTTGGTAGCGGGGCGGGATGGAATTGCGGGGATTCAGGAGGCTGGACGGGAAGCGATTGGAGGAGCGCTGCTAATGAGTAATGGGCCACATGGAGGGACGGGGCCGGAAATATCCCGGCTTGCACAGGAGGTATAAGTCATGGGGTCATGGTGTGATTGGTGTCAGGGCCACTCAGGGTTTCCGGCCAAACCTGGCCCGTGCCCTCGACAAAGGAATGGGTATGCGGGCAACCCGTTGACCGTCTTTCAAGACACATGCAAGCCCCAAAACACTCTCGATCACGCCCATGCCAGTTTACAATTGTACGACGCACATGGCTGCCACACATCTAGCCATGCGCCCGCCACACCACAAAGTGCCTGAACCCTCCGCAACGTACCTCCAAACGGCGCTCACAACCGCCTCCACCACCACCAACGTGCTCAGCAGCGCCCTCCTTGTTGCTGCCGCCGCTGTAGCTGCCTCGGCTGCCGCCTCCACCATCCCCGCCGCCGCTCTCACCAACCCCACACCCAGCTTGGGACGAGGAGGTTGCTGCTGCTGGCGTTGATGCCGTACCGGTACCGGTAGGCGGCGCGCGCATCACGTGCTCAGGGCAAATGTACGACGGTTGCTCTCGGCAGCCGTACAGCACGGTCATCAGGTGGATGCCCGAAGGCGAGACTGCCAGGCCCGCCAGGCCGCGTACGGAGAGGGGTGTTGTACTGCAGCCACGGGCCTGCCGCAGCTTCTGCAGCAGCCGGAGCGCCTGTGTGCATGTAAACACGTTAGGCAGGGGAGTTGCAATGCGTACCGGTACATGAGTGTGATTGAAATGTCATTGATTAAATGAAACTGCAAGAGTACCGTTAATGTTCTCGTATTTTTGGGCTACCTAGCGGATCGTCTGGCCCAGTTCAGTGGCGTGAAGGTCTTTTATGCGTACAACAACGCAGCTGTTACAGCCTGCCCTACAATTGATCTCGATCCACGTGTACAGCATTCGCACCTACATGTGCAATGCCGTACAATGCGACGACTCCAAAGGCCGGAAAGCCCCGCGGATAGCTCCGGCTTTTCTCCATGTGGTACATGTAAACGCCGATACTGCTCTCGACGGCGTCTGCTTCTGCGTTGTTATCTCTTTCGGGCACTTTGTACAGGCGTTCGTTGCCGTACATGTCGCACTCCAGCAACCGCCCTGTGGTAAGCGCTTCGAAACCGCTGCTGCTGCAGGGAATCAGCACACAGTTGCCAAGCGGCTCGCCTGAAGCGTCTTCTACTATGAACGCCATTTCTGGCACCTGGCTGCACCAGTCGCGAAGGGTTTGCAACGTTACAGGCGAGGAGGTCGCGTAGACGCCTTGGTCAGCCTTAAGCAGGGCATCATGCTCTTCCGGCCGCATGGCTCGCAGCCGCATGCCAAGATTGCTGAACGCGCTTCCTTTAAAAGGTGACCCGGCCGCTTCTGCTTCGTTTCCATGGCTTCCGTTGGAAGCATTGTTTTGGCCCTTAGCGAAACTCTCGGCTGTCGCAGTCAAAAGCATCTCGCTTTTCTGTGACCTTTGGTTGTAAGCAAGCTGCTTATATTTAGATGGCTGGCGAAGCGTGGCCGTTAGGGCAATACCAGCAGTGTTTCGCTTGTCCAACGAGTGCGTGTGGAGCCGTACGCTAGTCGAAAGCATAATGCATTGTGCCATGGCTGGGGTTGTAAGCCTCGCCTTGTTATGCTTCATAGTACGAAGACGATGGATCGACATGTATGCGGCATCGCTCGTTTGACGCCGTCAGTAGCCGACACAGGGTCGCCTAACCCTCAAGAGCCCCGCCTGTATCGCTATTGTATCCTCATGCGATTCATTTTGCTTTGGTTCTACCCGTATGCACGTGATCGCAGTGGGCGACAAGCATGTTGCATGCCTGGGTCGTAACGGAAACACCTCGCGATGACCATCGCGGGTTGGTAATTAATGGGGAAGCTACGATATTTGGTGTATAAGTAAAGGTCAGTTTGCTTGCCTGCGGTTAAGGTCCATGGATCATGGCATGCGGAGCACGCCCAGCACGGCTTTCCGTACGGTCTGGCTTTGTTTCTCACTTTTCCGCACCATACGCTCGGTGTAATAGCTCTTGCGCACCCAGCTGACCCTCCTATGCGTTTTGGGCGCAACCTGCAACATTTAATTAAGTTGCGAAGCGGCTACCTATGAAGTCTTGACGATTAAACCTCTAGTAGCATTCCTGCAACTTGCTTTTGCTTGACACTTAAAAGTGCGTGTGCCTATGGCTGCTGAACTTCCCAGCTCTCCCGGTTGGCCGGCCGTGTTGCGGACCAGGGAGCTTCAGGAAAAGGTCAGCACAATGTAACATTGTTACGTAAATTGGGCCTAGAAAATACCCTTCCAGTTGTCGATCAGCGCAAGCGGTATTTGGCGCGCAACCCGCAGATCAAGACGGCAAAGGTCCTTTGCGTTGGCGCTGGTGGCATTGGATGTGAGCTATTGAAGACATTAGTCTGTACTGGCTTTCGGGACATTGAAGTGGTGAGCACAGTCGGTGGTTCCTGCCCTGTGGCTGGCATGTCTGGTTGCCTAACCATGCCATGTACTGACCCCTTTCTCAGAACGGCTGAAACCTTACCTCCACAGCACCTTCACGAGGCATCTCCGACGGCAACGCACACGCTTGCTGCTATCCCAGCTTTTTCCCTCATGTTCCATTCAGTCCCACCTAAGGACCGACGACCCCACCTAGGGACCCGCGACCCCATATAGGCCATGTGGCCCGCTCGTCTGCCGCCCTCAGGCTTACTTGCCACGTGCCCACCCCTTGCCACCTCCTCCTTCCCTCCCCTTACCTCAGATCGATCTTGACACCATCGAGACCTCCAACCTGAACCGGCAGTTCCTGTTCCGAAAGCACCACGTGGGCCACAGCAAGGCCACCACGGCGGCACAGGTGGTCCAGGTGCGTGGTGGGGGGCAAGCCACATTGCGACTCTGGGGGAAACACACATCGGAATACACATATTGGAATACACGCATCGGTGAGCACGCATTGGAAGAAATGGTGGCTAACTCCCCCTTTCACGTCCTCTTCCCTTTGTTACTCTGCCCCTCCTCCTCCTCCTATTGGCAAACCTCTGCAACCCCTGCCTGACCCTTCCTATCCCGCCCCACCCTTCCTGCCTGAACCCTCCTGCCCCACCCTTCCTGCCTGCCCCCTGCCATGTCCCTGATCCGCCGCCAGGGCTTCTGCCCCGCCGCCCGCATCACCGCCCACCACGCCAACATCAAGGAGAGCCGCTTCGATGTGGACTTCTTCCGGGGCTTCGACATCGTGCTGAACGGGCTGGACAACCTGGAGGTGAGGAGCGGGCTGGATAACCCCCCTGGGGGCTTCCAATCTGCTGTCGCAACCCGCCTCCCGCCTCCACCCCGCTTTCTTCAACCCGCTTCCTGCAGGCCCGGCGCCACGTCAACCGGCTGTGTCTGGCGGCTGAGCGGCCTCTGGTGGAGTCGGGCACCGCCGGGTACCTGGGGCAGGTGGGGTGGCGGGAGGGGGAGGAGATGGGAGGAGGTGGGAGGACATGGGGGTGAGGAGACGGGTGGAGGAGACCTCCTACTTTGACCCCATGTCATGCCGTGTGCTGTCTGTCCGCTTACCCCTTTTCCCCACCTTCCTCCTCCTCCTCCTCCTCCTCCTCCTCCTCCTCCTCCTGCTGCTGCTGTCGCTGCCAGGTGACGGTGCACCTGAAGGGCCGCACCGAGTGCTTCGAGTGCCAGTCCAAGCCCACCCCCAAGACCTACCCCATCTGCACGCTGCGAAACACGCCCGACAAGCCCATCCACACCATCGTGTGGGCCAAGGACCTGCTCTTCAACCGCTTGTTTGGACGGCCGGAGGCGGTGTCAGGTACGGACGGGTGGGTTGGGGCGGCCGGTTGGGCGGGTGGTGTGTTATTTACCCGCCCCACATACATGAACCACACCCACCCCACGCTGCCCACCTGTTTAACCCCCGGGTTGGCTTCCTGGGCGTCCGTGACAGACCTGGACGAGCAAGCGCAGCGGGAGGATGGCCAGCAGCAGCAGCAGGAACAGCAGCAGCAAGCAGACGGCAGTGCCGCCGCTGCTGGGGGCGATGGTGGTGGCGCAGAGGGTGGCAGCGGCGCCGAGGCAGCTACGGCTGCGGCTGCTGTCGGGTCGGAGGACGCCTCGTTCTTCCTGCGGGGCGAGGGCGAACCCGCGCTGGAGTACGCGGCACGCATCTTCCAGCGGGTATACACGACCGACATAGAGCGACTGTGCGGCGTCAAGGTGTGTGAGGGGTGTGTGGTTGTGTGGTTGTGGGGTGGGGGTGTCAAAGTGTGAGGAGGGCTGAGTCCCGCGAGAGGGTGTGTGTGGGGCGCAGCGGTGCGCTTGGCGGGAGCTGCAGGCTGTCCCTGCAGGCAGCAGTGGTGGCCCCCATGGGTCACCCAGGGCGGACGGTGGGCGGAGCCAAGGGGCATTGCACAGGGAGGGGTCTCAAAGGCCATACCGGATCATAGGAAATTAGGACGTTGGGGCGAAGCAATGGGTACCGTAAAAGAGCCGGCAGGGTGGGGGTGGAGTGGGTTGCAAGGGAGCAGCAAGGGGTGGTGTGATGGGGTGGTGTGATGGGGGCCACGCATGCTGCCTCCCCACCCGCACTACCACCCCCCTGCCTCCCGCTCCAACCCCTTCCCCCTGCCGGTCTCCGCAGGAGCTGTGGGAGAAGCGCCCGCCGCCCCGCCCGCTGCGGCTGTCGGAGCTGCTGCCCGAGCACCAGCTGGGCGCAGTGCGAGCGGCGTTGCAGGCGGCGGTGGAGGGGGCGGCAGCAGCCGGGGAGGGAGGAGAGGCAGCAGGGGGCCGAGGGGCAGCGGCGAGCAGCGCGGCTAAGGCGCTGGGCCTCAACAACGCCAGCCAGACATGGATTGCGGAGCAGAACGCTTCCGTGTTTCTGCTGGCCATTGCGATGTACCATAAGCTGCGGAAGGATGAGGTGGGGCGGTGCGGTGACCCATGGGTCACATGCCATGTTCGCTCCTCTGAAACATGTGCCTCCTGGCAATGCGCAAGCAAGGGCTGTTTAAGCGTAGCTGCACTGGTCGGAAACCTTTTCTTTTCGTTCTGTATTTTCGTGCGATTGCAACTATTCGTGTGTACGGCAGGTTGGCTCCGCCTCCTTCGACAAGGACGACGACCTGGCTGTGGAGTTTGTGACTGCGGCATCCAACCTACGCAGCAGCTGCTACGGCATTCCTGAACAGGCAAGTCTCGGCTTCCCAAGCGCCTTCGCATTGTAGCTGTAAGTGTAGCTGTAAGCGTTACAGTCTGCAGGACAGCATGTAAGCAGCAGCAAGGAGGAACTGGTTAGGGTTGGCAGCTGAGGGCTGAATAAATTGAATACGGGATGCCTACCCACATTACCCCTCCCCCTACACGGGTCGTCTTCTTTCCCCCTCCCCCCGCTGCTGCCAACCCAACAAGTTTGACTATGTGCAATCCTAACTTGTATCCCTATTACCTCCCTTCCCCCCACCCCCAGTCGCTGTTCGACGCCAAGGGCATGGCGGGCAACATCATCCACGCCATCGCCACCACCAACGCCATCATCTCGGGACTCATCGTCACGGAGGCGCTCAAGATACTGGCGGGTGGGGAGGAGGGAGGAGCAGGGTGGTGCTGGCGCCTTCCCTTACCTCACAAGCAACCCCATACATGCTGTCCTTACCCCGCCCGGGTGCGCTGGCCATACCCGATTACCCCTTACCCCAATTCACCGCCTCCTCTCCACCCTCTCCCTCTCCTCCCTCTCCCGCCCCTCCTCTCCCGCCCCGACCCCTCCCTCTCCCTCTCCCTGCCCCCCTCCCCCTCCCTCTCCCCCCTCCAGGCCAGCTGGGGGCGCTCCGCAACACCTTCCTCTACGAGTTCCCCGCAAGCAGGCGCCTGGTGGTGGTCAGCTGCACCGACCCGCCCCGACCCGGCTGCATGGTGTGCGGCAAGGTGCAGCTCACACTGCGGATCAACACCGAGGTACGGGGGAAGAGAGGGAGGAGCGGGAGGGAGGAGGAGGGGAGGCGGGTGGCGCGGGAGGCAAGGAGAGCTGATGGGGAAGGAGCCATGGTGTCAATGGGAGCGGCGTGGGGACTTGGGGGCTTGCATGTGGATCGGCTAGGGGCAGGGGTGGCTGAGGCAGAATTCCAAACCCCAAACACACATGTTTCGACACCAGTCCCCTTCTCTCTTCCCCTTGCATCCCTCCCCTCCCCCCCTCCCCCCCTGCCCCAGACCACCACGCTGTCCTCCCTGCTGTCCGGCGTCATCAAGAAGCGGCTGGCGGTTAACACACCCAACCTCATGTCGGGAGGCTTCCTGTACGAGGAAGGTGAGGGGGACATGGCACCTCGCCATGCATGCGGCACCTCCCCGTCCCGCCCCCGCTGGGACAGCCCTTGACGCAGTGTAACCCCTCCCGCCTCCAAAGGTTAACCCCCTCCCGCCTCCCGCCCCTGCCCCCGCCATGCCGCCCCAGGTGAGGGCCTGGAGGAGGACGAGGTGGCGGCCTACGCGGCGCTGCTGCCCCGGCCGCTGTCGTTGCTGCCGGGCGGGGGGCTGCGGCACGGCAGCATCCTCACGCTGCAGGACCAGTCGCAGCACTGGGGGGTGGACATCATCATCGCGCACCAGGTGGGGGGGGAGGTGTGGAAGGAGGCAGGTGTGGGGGATTGCTGGGAACGGGCTGTGTATGGGGGGAAGGGAGAGGGGCGGATTGTGGGAAACCGCCCATGTGACTGCATGTTAAAACAGTCGTCCATGCAAGACGGCGCACTACCCATTACTGCATCTTGTAATGGGTAGATCTGCCGTACACAGTCACCCTTAAGCATATTGCTGTGTCGTACAACTGCCGAACTGTCGTATACAACAGGAGGATCTGAAGGAGGAGGACGCGCCCGAGGGCTTCATACTGGAGGGAGCGGTGCCGGAGGTCAAGTCGCAAGGGGAGCAGCAGCAGCAGCAACCGCAAGAAGAGGCAGCGGCGGCGGCGAAGGCACCGGCATCACATAAGTGCGTCGGGATGGGGGACGTTGGGCGCAAATTAGTCAGCACGGATTGCGAATACGGGCGGGTCAAGTCAACCGTGGCGCAGACAAGATGGAAACAGTCATGCAGCCGTGCACGGCTGGCAGGGAACCAATTCTGCCGAGGACGGGCATGGCGTGATGACCCATGGGTCGGCGCTTTCTACCATCCCAGGTGTTGCGACCCTCCTAGCTGTATATCCCTATTTATAACTTAAGTAAGACCCCCCAACCTTACACCGACGACAGCAAGCCTTTGTCCGGGTTATCATTCCCGTGTCGCCGTTCAGGGGCGCAATGGCTGGGGTCACGGAAACAGAGGATGGCACACTGGTTTTGGACGATGATGAGGAGGAGGAGGCGTTGCCTGAGAAGAAGGCCGAGGACGCGGGAGCGACGACCAAGGTAAAACACGGTTTTTGCTAGCATGCAAGCTCCATGGTATTGACTCGCGACAAAGCATGATATTGCCATGTGCATATGAAGCCGGCAGCCGTGAGATGCTCATACCGGTATGTAGACTACGGCCGCGCCTCGGCGCGCCTCTGATGTGGGTCGACTCCACCTTGACAACAAATGGACGAATACTTTCCATGTTTGCTAGCTATACATGAATTACTATTTTTGCTGTATATGCTGTATTGCTGTAAACCGTTCAGGCTTCCTCTCGCAAGCGTGCTCTCGAGGAGGACGACACCGAGGCGGCGACCGCAGAGGAGGAGCCGGAGGCGAAGCGGGCAAAGAGCGAAGCAGCGGCACCGGCAGCGAAGCAAGCGGAGGAGGACAATGAGGTGATTTTGATAGATGACGATGACTGAAGGAGGGCGAGCAGCGGGCGGGATCTTTGGCTGTAAGAACCGTCAGATCCAGCTGGCAAGGATGCTGAAAGTTTTGTTACTCTGAAAGCAAGGAGAGGTCGAAGACAACTTTGTTTGGCAGGATGACAGCATATGTGTAATGGCAAGGGTTCGCGGCAGTTGCACGGCTGACTTCAGCGTTGACTGCTTACACGGCTGTAACGTCCGCTGTAACGTTGCTGGAGCTCTCCTTATCCGTTCCTTGCACACTTGAAGCAAAGCATACCGCCCAGCTGTGTTGATACGGGCATATGTTGTCGCCGGATCGCCATGTGGGGGCGATTTGGATCCTACCTTGGACGTCCGGCAGCCATCTCCGCCGTGCCCCAAACCTGTAGAAACAGCGTTGTTTCCAAGCACAGAGCTTTGTTTCCTTGATCCTACACCCTATATATATGTACAGTGTTGTGAGCTATTATATTATCAAGGGCTGATTATCTCTTGTCGTGAGACGTCGGTGCATAGCACCCAACGGAGACCTACAACGTTTCGCGATTCCAGGACAGATCGCCTCGCCTATAATTACATACCGTCGCACGCAAAGCCGCGCGCGCCTGCTCAGGACGACCTCCGCAGCGCAACCAAGGAACAACAGCGCTTGAACAGCACTGGACACTCCACGCAGCAAACTTTCCTCAGCCTTTCCTTCAGGCAGGCAAATCCTTCACCTAGCAAGCACATAACAACGTCCAATTGCTTTACGCTAGCAAGCCTTGGGCCTGCTGCTTAAAGCCTCACGACTACTGCCGACTGATCTCGCTGCCACCAGCCATGACAAAAAGCGCAAGCATCCCTTGGTGCTGTCTGCCCGAGACCTGCACGCACTGCGGAAATGGAGATGTCGAGACTGAAGGACGTCGGCTGATGGTCCTGTGCTCAGCCTGTTTCTCAGCCGGCACGCACGCGGGATGCCACGAGGACGTAACCGGCGCCCCGCTGTCTTCCGAGATTACGCACGGCGATGGACTCTACTTCTGCAGTGAGGTAGGAGATCGGGGAGACTGGGTAGCGGGCAGGGACCTGCGTGTGTCGGTATGTCGGGCACGTGAGGTTTCACTGTTACTAGGAGGCAAAGTACTGATGTGGGTCAAGGCTGTTAGGAGTCAAAATGCATCTTTCAGAGCAGTGTGCTGGTTCTGCACAGTATCGCTCGTGCATCTCTTGCCTTGCGCCATCTTCCTCTCCTTCCTAACTCCTAATCTTGATCAACCCAAATCGAATATTCGTCATACGCAGTCGTACATCACGACCCAAATACGCAAGGGAAGTGTACTCCACTCCCTCTTCTCGCGCCCTTGCCTCTCTTGCAGGCCTGCCAACGCAGCTACGACACATTGGAGCGCGCCATGGGTCGTCGCAGCCGCATCCGAGACGAGCCGGAGCAGTACTCCTTTGAGCTGGTCAAGTACAACCCGAACGACAGGAGTGAGTGGGGGACATGGATGGCAGGGTGGGTATTGGGGATCAGGGCAGAGCAGGGGGCGGACGGGAATATGTACGGATGTACGGATTTACGGCGGTGCGCTGTGGGTGTCAGGCGAAGATTCACACTGACCCAGATCGCATAAGTAAATCAAATGGCTGTGGGAGTGGAGCTTGAGGGAATGAATTGGATGGTAACATGATTCGGGCCAGGGATGATGATTTGGACGGGCGGGGTTAGACTCCGACCCAGATCATCAGCCAAGCCGTGCCGGTGCGGGGCCTACACGGCAATAAGAGCTGTCCCACCCCAATGCCCCCCCCCCCACCTGCAGGTGTACGATCTGCCGTGGAAACCGCCATGCGCATGTTCCGAACCAGCTTTGGTGAGTTGTGAGTTATGTACCGCCGCCGCCGCCGCATCGGCACACGGCACCAGCTATACACACGCACTAGCACGTACACGTAAGAACGTATTACCCACATCACATGCGACCTTTTTCTTCCCACTATCACACCCGCCTGTTCGAAACTTCGAATGCCTTGACAGTCCACCGGTATCCCGCCCCGCCTGCCTGCTTACCCACTTCATCTCGCCTCCCTCTCTCTATCTGCGATCTGCTCCCGCCCCTTAATAGCGCCGCTTATAATGGAGAACGGCCGAGATCTGCTGGAGATGGTGTGTACGGCGTACGAGACGCCCGATGAGGAGGTGGACGAGGAGGAGGGCGGCGGACATAACTTCAGTGAGTGAGGCGGCGGAGACTGTCTGGGGCCTTGTGTGCGTGTGTTTAGGCCCTGTGCGTGAGTGCTTAGCAGTGTAGCGTTGCCGAGAAACCACCGGCGTAGTAATCCTGGTGTAAGGGCTTGTGAGGCAACACAGGGTTGGGTTGCGCAATGTTGACCCAGATCGCAGCTACACTGCTAAGCCAGATTACAGCGACACTGCCAAGTAAAAACACAGGTCAATTATGTCATAGCGTTGTGGACCAATAGGGATAGCGACTGGCGGAATGGCGTGACCTCGTGACACCGGCGTAACCTCGCCCCTCCCACCGGCCGCCCCCTGCACAGGCGCTTTCCGGCTCGCCATTCTCCGCATGGGCGGCACCATCATCACGGCGGCCACCCTGCGGTGAGGGGAGGGCAGCGGATGTGGGGGGTGGCGGGAGAATGGTGCGCTTGCATGCGCGACATGTCTAGCACAAGCCCAGCGCTTGCCTGGCTCACAAATGAGCCCATCACCCAAAGACGCTGCCCCAGATTCCTTATAACTCTTTGCCTCATGCATCCTCTTCTGACCCGGATACACCATGCAGGGTGTTTGGCAGCAAGTTCGCGGAAATGCCATTCGTGTCAACCCGTGAGGGCCACCGACGAGCCGGCAACTGCAAGCGCCTGATGAAGGTACGGCAGGCGGCGGGGATGCCTGGGACGTGGGCGGTCTATACCTAGATTTGGACGTCAAACCTTGGACGTCAAACCTTGTGCAGAAAACAATTTGGACGAGGAACGTAAGCCCGAACGGCTTTACCTGCCACCACTACGACCAAACCCCCGTTGCCCCATGCCTGACCCTCCTTCTTCCCCCCTAACCACCACTGCTGCTGCCGTACCCAGGCCGTTGAGGACATGCTTCTTGCGGCGGGTGTGGGTGTGCTAGTCATCCCCTCCATCAACGAACTGCTCCCCATGTGGACCCGCAAGTTCGGATTCGCCAAGCTGGCGGAACAGGCGAGTTTCTCGGCGTGCTTGTCGGGTTCGTGACCCATGGGCCAGTGGGTCGCATGGGGGTTGGCGACCCATGGGTCGCTGTACTGTACTGAATACTCGGCTGAGACAGCATTCACTTGGTGTTGTACCCTTCCTGCCTGGCCAATTCCTGCAGCACAGCGAGCCTATCTATTTTTCTTTTGCCCTTCCTTAACCTGTTTTTCATGCATGCAGGTATCGTCTGCTTCGCATGCATGTCTCTATCTCTCTTCAGGTCTTCACCTTGTCGCCCCTGACCCGTCGTGCAGGAGGTGGAGGGCATCGAGGACTGGATTGTCGACACGGACCGCGACACCTGCACCCTGGTCAAGAAGTACGTGCTGCCACCCGGACAGCCGCAACCGCAGCCCGCGCCGCCGCCACAGCCGCAGCAGCGGCCGCAACGTACGGCACTATCCCAGCAACCGCCATCGCAGTCACAACAACCCCAGCCGTTCCGAGTCTCCAAAATGCTGCTGCCGTCGCAGCCGCCGGGCGCATCTGCCGCCGCCAGCAACGCTGCGTCGCGAAAGCGAGGCCGACCGCCCAAGATGCTGCTCATGCGGTACGACAACAGCAGTAGCAGCGGCAGCGATGGAAGCGACAGCGACGAGGATAGCGGCGGCGGACGAGGCGGGCGCAAGCGACGAGATCGTAGCAGTGGCGGTCGCCGGGGCGGCTCCGGCGATCGATTCAAGGGCCGCAGTCGAACGAATAGCCGAGGAGGTCGCGGCGGTTCAGATTCCGAGTCGGACTTTGTACCAGACAAGGAAGAGGAAGAGGAGGACAAGCGTCGGGCTGCCGACGAATCCGACGCGGACGAGGACTTGGAACCCGAGGAGCCGCTAGTCGGTGGCGCCAGGCGAAAGGGCGCTAAGACGCAAGTCGCCAAGCGCGGCAACGGCAGTCGCTCTGCAACGCCGCCGGCAACCGCCGGTGCCGCCGGTACGACACAAGACGTCGCTGCCGCCGGTGACGACGCCGTACGGCCTCCGAAGCCGAAGCGCGTCCGTCGTACCGGGGGCCCTAGAGCCCGACCCTCCGGTGGGCCGCCGCCGCCTCGGCCGCCGCCCATGCCGCTTCCCGTACACCCCATATACGGCACCGAAGTATCCGTCGTACGCTTGCCGGAGGAGCTCAGGCCGGCGCCGCCGCCGATGCCTCGCGAGGTGGATGAGAGCCGGCCCGGTCTGTCCAATGAGCCCTTCCAGCTGTCCATACACCTGCAAGCCTGCATCCTCAGGAAGGCCGCCAGAGCCGCCGCCGTCGCCGCTGCTGCCGGCGGTAGTACGGCAGTGCCGCCGCTGCCTCTGGCTGTTGCGCAGGCGGCGGCGGCGGTGCAGCCACCGCCCCCGCCGCAGCTAATCCCGCCTGTGGCGCTGACGCCGCCTGTGGCAGCGCCGCCGGTGCAGCAGCAGCAGCAGCACCAACCACAGCAGCAGCGGCCACAGCAGCCGCGGCGGCGCCAAGGGGCCAAGATGGCTCCCTCTCCAGAGCAGGAAGAGGCGCGGCGGCGGCGGCTTCGCATCCGGCTGGCAGTGAAGCAACGGCGGCTGGCGTACAGAGAGCTCATGATGGGCTTCGTACTGGCAGGTGGGTGGGTGTACGACTGCAGCCGGCGCAGATGCTGGTGGTACGACGAACATGCTGTAGCAACAGTGCCAGATAGATCAGGAAATTGGCTTGAATCTGGTCCGTGCAGTTGTGGAGTTTCGCATTGCGCATTTAATGCAAAATGTCAGAAGGCCGGTTTTCCTTTTATCCGAGTATACCCGTAGGTCCTAACTGCTACGCTAAACCGTTACTAACCACCGCGCCCAAACCTTTTCCTGTACGGCACTGCACATGCAGAGACGGTACGGCAAGTGGCCATGTCCGAGGCGTCTACGACACCGGCAGCAGCGGCGCAGCCCCTGCCAACTCCTTCCCAGCTCA